ATTAATATCTAACCGGCATTATTGACTGGTATGGATAGAAATTAAGATGACTCAGCACGTTAAAGCCCTGAAAGTTGTTAATTTACTAGATCAGGCAACCACGTAGTTGTTACAACTATCTGAATATGAGCTATCACAACACACTGCAGCCATTACGTTTATAGCAGGAGGGTTTTCCTCATGCTTTATTGGACTCTGTAAAACTCAACTCTTCTATCAAAAAGAATGCTTAAATATTATCAATATAACTCTCCACACACCTTTATTCAGAGAAAAGGAGCCAAGATAGAGGTGGCAAGGTAGGGAGTCCTTGCCCCGAACACCCCACTGCCTCGTGCTTGCACCGAAGGCCTCACCCCGCTGGCTTGGGGAGTCGCAGGTTGTAACAGCTGAGCAGATGGAGCTGCTAAACCTGCGTCAGTGCTCAGGCTTCACGCTAGCTAGACGCGCTCGCGCTAGAAAGCTCACTTTGCCGGGCAGTAACCCGGTCTCTGCAGCAGCACAGCAGGAGTAGGAGGGGTCGCTGCTGCAGGCGAGGCTTTGCCCCTCGGGCTGGGACGGGGGGACAGAGGCCCCGATCCCTGCTGAGGGACCAAGTCCCCCGTCCCCGCGGAGGAACCACTTCTCTGTGCGCCCTTGGCCGCAGGTGGCTCCCGCCGACAAAAAACAGCAGGGACGGGCGGGTGGCCATGGCGCTGTCCCAGGACATCGACAATCCCTTTCTGCTGGGCCAGTGGCATAAGACGAGGTCCCACCAGGGGGAATAATGCCCCGGAAGGACCAAGAGGATATTGAAAATGTTGCTGAGTTTCCAAAAGGATGGGCAATTTTTTTTTTTTTTTTTTTTTAAACTTGTTAGAACAGAAGCACAAGGAAAGATCTATTAAAGATGAAGCTGATAGAGCAACTGCAAATGGTTCACAGCACTTGCAGGTACCTTGCAGGAGCACATGCTGCAGTATCACAGGAGACAACACTCATTCATGCCTGACCATTTCGTCTGTCCAGATTTAGAAAGTTGTACCAAGACTGAAAAGACCCATGATATTTATTTGCTTCCCTTATTCTTTAAAGGCTTTTTATATACTGTTCCAGTATATCCCATTTCAGACTTACTGTGTATCATAGGTATGAAATGCTTTCCTTAAACTGTATAAACTTGAGCATAGATCTAACAGCCAACCAGGTTACCTCTATTGAAGGGGGGGAAAAAAAAACACCTCCTCAATCCACAAGAATAGATAAACAAGTGCTTTTTCTACTTTTGAGTTTTATATTTTTATTTCTCTTTCTCTCTCTCCCCCCCTCCTTTTTTCTTTCTTTTTTTTTTTTTAAACCAAATAAATTTGTTACTCAAAGATATCCAGGTTTTTCAGTTTAAGGAATCCTAAAAGAAAATTCATGCATTCATATGCTCATAACCATCGGCATGATAAGACTCCATCTTAAATGAAGGATTTTACCTGATATTTCAAACTTAGAAATGAAGAATTTCAAGTTTGAAGTAGCTGATAACTGAAGCTTCAAGAAATCAAGCTTTGAACTTGCATTGTCCTGGCTAAATAAAATTTTAGTGTCACAGGAGTTTTCATACATAAAACAAAATCTGTGGACTTGCTTTTTCTATTTCAGGAAAATAAAGTCTTCAGCTATTTCTCAAGTAATATCATAGCTACAGAACAAGTAGCATTTCTCTTTCAGAAATTGTATTTCTAAGCTACATTAATTTTGCAGATGTGGGATTAGGCTAAAAGGGATATTCTGAACAAACCATGAAGCTATGCAGAAAATGCATCAGCGAGCTCTAATATCAGAAATACAGGAATTTACATTTCTAAGTTGATTTCCAGCTTAGCATCCCATTGGTTTTATTTCTAATTTCTGTGTAAAACACCGTCATCTGAAAATAAAAATGCTTTTCTGATATTTCTAGAAAGATTGTTTTTAAAAATAAAGAAAAAGAAAGAAGCAGCATTTTTATAGGCTTACATTTATGTCAATGAGAATTTTACCATTTGGAAAAGCTTGCAGGAATCAAAAATTACTATGCAGGGAGCCTGCATGAACAGACAGGCAGCTTTATTTCACTGTGTGAAAGCACAGTTAGTGCAACTGCTAACTACGAGCGTATGCTGATGGCAAACAGACCATTTTAATATCTTCGGGTTAGTCATAAAACATTATACTCATTTTCCTAGAATGCATGCTACAGTGATCTTCCATTTACGTTTTCCCAGGTAACAAGACTGGTATAGAAATCTTCTGACCCAGATTTTTACACAGATAGATAGACAGATAAACCCAGAAACACCCCACAAACTGTCACTCTCTCAGCAACCCTAGGAAGACCGTTCAGTGCTGCAGTTTTGTGGCTCAGGTTTAAGAAAAAAAACCCACGAATCTGTTTCACAGAATCACAGAATCACAGAATCGTTTAGGTTGGAAGGGACCTCTGGAGATCATCTCGTCCAACCTCCAACCTGTTTCTCTACAGCTTTTTGTGAATTCACTCAGTGTTGTCATAACTGATCTAACACCAAACTGTGACTCACGGGAAGAAACGCGCGTGCTTTGTCCAGTTAAACGCACGCCTGCATTTGGGCAGAGTTAAATCAGCCTCGGCCCGCCGGGGCTGACGTTTGACCTCGGACCCTCACCGCGTAATGGCGTGGCATGCACCACTGCCACAGACAGTCACTAATCAGAGACCTGCAGAAAACATCCACGTTCTTAACTGTAAGGAGGGAGAAGAAGAAAAAAAAAATGCAGAGGAGTTTCTGGTAAGTGAAAATCAGTGATTTTTTGAAAGTGGATACGCCATAAGACACTTATTTCATTCAAAAGAGAAACATTAACCAGTAACAGGGTAAACTTAGATAAATTAATTAGGGAATTACTGTAAGGCAGTTGGATGAGGATTCACTGCACATTACCTATGAGGATGCCAATTCATTTATTTGTCTCTCCTTAGGTCCCTCTGCTGCATTAACGGCAGGTTAGAGCGCACACACACAATTACTGTGGAAACAAATGCAACTTTAATTGATATCCTAGCTCACCTTATACAAACTTGCTTGTATAGCTTTCACAAACAGCTGTATTGCACCTCCCAAACACTGCAGTTTTGCTTTAAACGTAAGTGGCAAAAGGAATTCAGTTATAAATGAAGTGGTAAAAAGACAAAGAATAAAACCCAGCCATGTCACTTTGACTGGCCGTTAGATATAAACCTCTTGCTTTGCACACGAGAAGTGTCTTTCCGTAGAAGCAGAAGTCTAACTTGCCTTATTTACTGGTGGTGGGGCCAAGGTAGAACAAACAACAATCAATAAGATGTTCCAAACTGCTTTTTAAGAAGTATTTTGGCATGCAATTTTTTTTTTAAACTTGCCTCCGGCAATAGCAGTAGGCCAGTCAACTCCCCCTTCTGCACTTGGTCTCAGTGAAATCAACTGAAAAACTGCCCAATCTCTAAAGTACCCACGGCAAGAAGAGGACATTAATTCCAGCCCAGGCTTTTCCTGGATTTTCTTTTATTCTGGGTCATGGCCTGAGGGTTGCTGCAGACATATTTCTCTTTCTCCTGAACAGGTAGATGGGAATGCACAAAATTTCAGATCTAGAAACCCACTTATTTGCTGGGTTATTAATGACACAGCAAAAACATTGCAGTTTGTTGATGATTTAAGGAGGACGGGTGTGGCGCGCCCATCCATCCTCAACCTAAGACAGGGCTGAAGAGAAGCAGCCTTGCTGTTGGAGATTTGCACCCCAGATTGCCACGCAGCTCGCAATCATCTCTGAAATGGACCACTGACCCTCCTCCCTTCCAGCAGGGCTGTGACCGAGGACCCTCTCTCTTTATAAAAGCTTATCCTTGAGTACGACAAGTCATTGTCTGCTTCTTTCAAAAATGTGTCATTATGGCAAAAGGCTGATGTAACATGGTTATTACTTACAAAACAAACAAACCCTGCCCCCCACACGGAGAACTCAACTGAATTCTAGAAAATATCCCAAAGGTGGAGTTAGGAACAGTGTTGCTGTTGCCTTATCTGCTGCTCTCTGGCCCTCTTCTCCTGCGAATCTGACCGAATCGTACACAGAGCAGTGAAGCAGATACCTCTTCACAGCACACAGCTTCAGTTCCACAACATGAACCCGTATTAGCTACAACTGAAATTGCCATTAATAGCAGAGAGTGAAAAAATCAGTTGCTAAATAGAAATCATCCGCACACCTAAGTGTCGCACAACCTAAGTTTCTGCTCATCCGGAGACTCCCTAGGGGCCCAAAAGCATTACGTTGCCTAGGCTGGACTACCACGGGGGAAACGCACTAAAGTTACCTTGAATCATTAAACCCTACAGTTCCTTATGGCAGTCTGAAGTTCCAGAGAGTCCATCAAAGAGCACATTTAGCAGCAAAGAACAATTGTGAACCCTATTGCTGGTGCTCAAGTTTAGATTTTAACCATATGAAAAAGTTGCTCCTTTGAAAATACAGACCCACCAGTAAAGGTCACAGATCTGTACATCAGGCCTTCCTTCATTTCTCTCCCGCCCTTTTTTTTTTTTTTTTTGTTTATATTACTCTCATTTTATTATTTAAAAACATGGAGAGGTTAGAAAACAGGGAGATCAAGTCAGTGGGTCAGGGTAATGTTTAACCTCAAATTAAAATCTCAGAGATAAAAGGGAGCGTACTATAGATTTCTCAGATCAGCTCCCCAGCCCAGCCAGTCTGAGAGAAATATCGGTAGCGCTAGGGTCTAAGGGTGTACAGCGCCTTTCTAACCTGGTCTAAGCATTTCCCCCCTCCCTGCAGAAGTGAGCTGAATAAAAAAAAAAAATAGATCTGATAGCTAGATAGCCTTCCTTTTTTATTATTGTCATTGTTAAGTTACAAAAACCATCTTTGCGGTGAGAGAATTAATCAGTTCAGAGCAACTGATACAGAAAGCCAGAGTTGTCCTACCAGAGAATTATCTACCAGGTGCCATGTCAAACTTTGTAGCTCCAGAAATCAAAAAATTTGTGGCTTGGGACTATGTTGTTTTTATAGCACTATTTTTAGTATCTGCTAGCATTGGAGTCCTTTTTGCAATTAAAGAGAGGAAAAAGAAGAGTTCAAAGGAATTTTTGGTGGGTGGCAGGCAGATGACATGCGGACCAATAGCCTTCTCTCTCACATCCAGCTTCACGTCAGCGGTAGCAATTCTGGGGACGCCATCTGAAGTTTATCGCTATGGGGCATCCTTCATTTTTTTCACTCTTGCACATACACTTGCCATCATCTTTACTGCTGAACTTTTTGTACCTGTATTTTACAGATCTGGCATTACAAGTACTTATGAGGTAAGTAAAAAAGATATTATTACAGCATAAAAATCAGTTTTATTATGTATATTGCTATTTCTAGAGAAAATCTATGGCAGAAATTTACAAAACAAATGTATCAATACAAGAATTTTTTTTTTTTAAAACAAGCTGATTATACAAGCTAGTTATTTGTATTTCATAAGTTGCAGGCAAAAATAAAGGATCGGTGGTGCTGCTATGCACACATAGCAAAGAAAAAAAGTTTACTGGTTAGTATAGAATATGTTACAACTGGAAAATAACTAAAGTGCCTGCGATGCTTTTGGTCTTAAATAACTTTTTCACTCTACTTTAGAGCGTGGTTATTAAAGAGGGACTTTAAGAACAAAATTCAGGATCTAATTTCAAACTTAGTCTAGATCTGGAGGTTGGGCCACTTGCTGTAAAAGTGGACTCTCTTATATCCACAAAATGGGGAGAGGAGAAAGAGAGGTTTTTTAAATAAATAAATTAATAAAGCCTGGAGAATGGATTTAGGGATTCGCCAGCAACAGAAATTAAAGAACTTCCAGTTTTCCAGGTTTTTGCCTGGCTCTCCTCGAACACGTTATTTTCTTCATATGAGAGACCATCAGTGGAGGGAAAAACAGCCAACCAAGCCCTGCCAGCAGCTGCGATGCTGTTAGCAGGGGCACAACATGCAGCTGTTGTCACCCGCACGCTGTAGGAACGTCGGGCAGCTTTTGGACAACTGAGGTTGCTGTTTAGCCACTTGAACCTGCTGCCACAGCTTCAGTTTGTGGGCCGTTTCCTGGAAGGGCGCGTGGGGCAAGGGTGAACAGAGACCCGCCAGGGAGCCAGCGGTTCCCAGCAGCAAAAATAGCTCACACTCTTGGAAACCCAGCGCCACGGACGAGCTTCAACAGCTTTGCCTGGGTACCGGCAAATATTTCAGTCGCAGGCTGGGAAAAATTATAACCGACCAGCTATTTCAGTTGCCAAAAGTAACTATTTTCTAGATGGTTTAGGTGCAAGATCAGAGAAGGAATCACTTATTTTAACTGCTGAAAATTTCATTGCAGTCAGAGGGTCTCTTCAAGCACGCCTGCAAGATGACCTTGCTGACTTCATGAGTTATTTTCAGAAACAGATCAAATTATGTGAATTAGTTACTTATTTTATGGCAAATTTGCCACACTACTGTGCAAGAGATATAAGAGAGGAACATACAATTAATAAGAAAAATTGTATTTGAAGTACTACATCTAAAGTCTTCTAAAAGATAGAAAACCCATGTAGTTTGTCCGCAAAGGAGAGTACAGTAGTACTACTCAAGGGCAGGGAGACCCAGGGGGTCCAAGGTGGCTTGTAGTTAGCAGCATAGATTTAACTTTTTCGCCAATTCTGCAAAGAGACTTCAGGTGGTGACTCTGGCCTAGGACGTGGAGCACCTGCTCCACCACTGCTGTGGCCACTGTGGAAGTCCAGCTATCCTGGAGACGAGCTCAGGTCTCCCGCTCATACAGTCAGATTAAACCTCAAAATGAAGTACAAGTTTCTTTTCCATACAGCCTCTGGGCTCCTTCAGTTACTCCGAATACAAAACAGGTATTGAATACTTCAGCCCAACACATAATTTCAAGTATATTCCACAGATAAGATCTCTTAAATATAATTATCTCTACCAGTAAGAATAATCATGCTCCCTGGTACTAGTCATAGCAGTAGCGTCAGTTGTCTGTAATTGTACTTGTGAAGCAAGCTGCTACTCGGGGCTAACAGGAGGTTAATGGCTGTGTCATAGCTGCTACTTGTGCAATTTACTGCACCTCCTCTTTTTCCTAGTATTTGGAGTTAAGATTTAACAAAGTGGTCCGTTTAGCTGCCACACTGATCTACATCCTGCAGACGGTAAGAAGACATTGTCTATTTGTTCATCAGAATTTCACTTATGTTTATTTTGCAACACTCACCTCAGACTCACCTTCCCCCCCCCCACCCCTAATGAGCTGTTTTAATTTTTTTTCCCCTTAATTTTTCCAGCTGGACTGTGAATATTAAGAAGAAAGTGGTTGCTTTCCTACTTCCTAGCTTCTTCCTACCTACAGTTAAAAAAAAGTCTGTCATTATTATTGCCTTTGACATTTGGATGCAGTACTGCACTTGCACAGCTTCTCACATGCTTGGCCTCATTACATTTCTTTGAAGCCTCTCTGCTTCCAAGAAAATTGAGCATACACACACACACATATGTATATATATATTTTTTCTTTGTGAGAACCTACAAGAGCCACACATTTTTTAAAAAAAGGGGCACATTTACATCCAGAGCTCCCTGGCTACGAGCCCAGGGTGAAGCTCTCCTGTTCTGGAGGCAATGCAGCCCTGCGTCGCTCCTGCTGGGGAGGGGTTTGGTCCCTGCAGAGGGGAGAGGAGAAGAGGCAGCCTCCACCCTGGCGCCTCCCAGGTGGCCCGAGGAGTTCAGGCAGGACACAACCACGGGGCTGCCCACCTGCTAGCTGCCTGAGTGACTGGGCCACCGGGGTGAAGCCTGACACCTAAGGGGACAGAAATCACTGCTTGACGTTTATAGACTGCATTTATAAACTGCTCTGCAGTGCCAAACGCTGAATAGCTGGTCCACACCCCTGTGTGTGCAGATAAAATAAGTAGTATTGCTTTTGGCTCATGGGTGGTGAAGTTGAGTGAGTAAAGATGAGCTTTACTTGCCCAAAAGCACTTAAGGAGCCAGTCAAGGCTTTATGTGTACTATGGTACACATAAAATAGCTTTTTGTCTTTTGATTTGAAATTTTGGCAGATTTCTCAGAAGATTATTTTAATTGTGTGTTTGATGGAAAATTGGGAAGCTGGAACACTTGCCTGTCTTTCTACATTAATTCCATTTAATTAATTCCTAAAGCTCTAGCAAGAGATTCAGAAGTTTGTTTACTTCCAGGTTTTGTTTCCCCCCCTCAATTCTGCCACAACATATGCATGAAAAGCATTAAGTACTCTGAGAGGGATTAAATGGAACCAGGGAAGATTAATTTCCAAGACCCAACGTACGTTACTTCCGCATCACTGTTTGTGTTTTACTGAGGGCTCCTCTCTCTATTTGATTAGTATAGCCTGGACATCTAATCATCTTAGCAATGGGTGAAATAAGAAATACACAGAGAGGGAGTGGTGGCTTAACTCCATCAGAAAGGAATTAAATGAAGGATTTCGATTTTGTAAAGGCTGAAGAAGAAAGCCATATATGGTACAATCTGATCTAAATTTTGCAAGAAGTCTCTACCTCTGGTGCTTTGCTCTGAGCTGCTCTCTAAACAGAGTCCTTATCACTGAGCGCTCACAGACATGGTTTTCCCATGAACTTTTTTCTCCTGCAGATCCTTTACACTGGAATAGTGGTTTATGCTCCATCACTGGCTCTCAACCAAGGTAAGTTTCCAGGCCAAACTACATGGCTACCCCAAATAACCACAACACAAGACAAGCAGACTTACTGAAGCAGAAGAAAGTAAATAAGAGGGCTAAAAAAAAAAATCCTCAGAAGATCCGTAGGAAGATTTTTTGCCTTCACCTAGTAGTTCTGCAATTCTGATACTCCAGGTCTCTCCCTCACACTGGTACTTTAGCACGAGTCTTGCGTTTGCTCTTCTGCACTAACAGCCTACAAAGTTAGCAATGAACAACTTCTCAACCTCCTGACAAAGTTTACGGTACGGGTGGCGACCCAAGACTGCGCTCTGTACTTTGGTTCCTTCCTTCCCCATCTGCCTCACACTGCTGCCACTGCTAATGCCCACAGGACAGAGCTGAGATTTCTCTGTCTGAAAGTAGTGGCAACTGCTCAGCTGCCAGCAGAAACATAGAAGAGCCGAGGGTGCTATGAGTCTCTAAAGGAGCAGAGAACAGTTTACTTTGTAGGATGACACCTATAGGTACCCTATAGGCACGGGGAGTTCTGTTCCAGCACGATGACGTCTCTCAGGTAAGAGGAAGGACAAGGCCCTAGAGGCAATGGTTATGTTTAAACATCCTATCGCATTTTCTACCCAACGTCTCATTCACTTCCCCCTTGGGCACAGCTCCATTCCCTGTAGCTGGAGCTGAAGGCTACCCTGCTCTCTGCAAACTTCCTTAATCAGCCTTTGAAGACCAGGAATACAGCATCTGTCACGATAGCTGGGATCAATAACTTTACAATCATACGACATAAGGAATCAATGTAAGCTCCTAAAGCAACTGATTTCCCCAAATTTGATTGGGAAGAAATCTGGAGGCTCTTTTCATAGTCCATCATCTGAGTTGCATCTGGTTTGTGCAGTCTCACTGGTATTCACCTTCCGCACAGCGCTGAGTTCCCTTCCTTGGGAGCTAGGCTGCGTTTTAGGTGGCAGTTGTTCAGAAGGTCACCTCCATTATTAAGCCAAACTAGTTTTGCTACTAAGAGAACTTAGAATTGTCCTTACAAAATAAGTCTCATGGGAGAGATCTAAATATAAGCAAAACTAAAATTTGCACATCTTATCTTGCATAGAGACTTTATGAAGCAAAATGAACAGGCGAAATTGTTTTAGTGCACAGTCAGCACAGTTCTAAGGTTAAACTTCTAGTTTCAGAGGATGGAACTTAGATTTTTTCCTTAGGATTCAATGGAAATCTCCCAAGAACTTTGTTGCTCTGAAATTTATGGTTGGAAGAACACAAACTCTTTCAGCAAAAGAAAATCCTGTACATGAAACAGAAAGAAAGCATTGCTCATAAAATAATCTCCCATAAGAATTACGTTTTTTCTTTCTGCAATTATTTTACATATGAACTACTTTTACACCCTTGAAAGGTAGTTAATCCCAATTTGCAAGAAAGCAACAAAGCAAAACGGCATCCAGTAGCGTCAAAAACCTTGACTAATCCAGCAGAATGCCTAACAGACACAAAAGATGAAAATTAATAATTACTTCCATCCTACTAAGAGTAATAGATAGCTTTTCTCTTACTATCCTTTTGCTAACCATTTGGTTTTCTTCGGTTTCACAGTCACTGGATTTGACCTCTGGGGCTCTGTAGCTGCAACAGGAATTGTCTGCACTTTCTATTGCACTTTGGTATGTAACAGGCACAATTGAATGGCTTAAACACAGATTGCTAACGCAACCATCCCTTGTGCTTGAAAGGCTGTAACAGAAGTGAGAATTCTAAATATGGTCTGAGGGACTGAAGTCTGCAATACTAGGACATAGAGATAAGTTTATTTCAGATCCTAAAGTATAAATCTATTTAGGGGGGACAACACCCAACTTTATTTCCTCCCAATTACTCCACTGTATTATCTCAAGGTTTAAGTCAGGCAGCTTGAGGCAGAGTCCAGACATGCAGGTGAAAACCTTCCCTCACCATAGCAAATTTTTGAGAAGATTCTTCTCATCTTTTGCAAGTTATAGATGGAAAAACATAGTAGTGAAAAATGTATCTCTGGTGTCACCCTGGTTCAAGAACAGAGCGATAAAACATAGGAAGCTCACCTAACAGGGCTTACAGGGATCTTTACTACTGAGTCAAAGCGACACAAGACCTTCCCTGGTGCACCTGTAAAAAGCTCGGGAAGTCAACGAGCAATGGACAAGAGGGTCAGTTTTCTTGTAGGCGCTGTATCCAAATGTTCAAAAGCACCTAAGAGACTTAGTTGACTTTCAGTGTACTTTTAAAAGTTTTAGTCCATATTTTGGACCTGGATTATTATGGACATGAGTCCCACAAGCTGGAGCAAATGAATGTCTGCTTGGTTTATGGCTTTGGATAGGACTTAGGATAATAATAATAATAAAAGATAGCCAGAGACGTGGAAATGGCAGAGAAATTGGGCTCAGGGCAGAACAAGTACATCTCAATCTTTCACTCCCATTGGGAAGTTAAGCCCAGAGGCATGAGGGAAGCCTGATGGGTCTCAGAAAGGCTACTCCATCAGTCCACAGTCACAGTAAACAGCAAACAGACTGGCTAAGCTCTGTAGGTTTTGCTACATTATCATTACTATTTGATTTAATAGATTTAATATTTCACTAGGTCCTTGTTGAAAACACTGATTGTGCTGCTCTAACATCAGTTTCATCAGATAGCAAATTTGCTATGGAAGAAAGCTGAATTGCAGACTTTTTGGAGCTCTTTTTGCTGTATTGTTAAACTTACTGTGACCACTGAGCTCTGAAAAGCGTATAGAACACCGTGGGAAGTACAAACACAGGCAAAGTTTTATTCCCCAAATTTTTGTTCCACACCATGGCATTTTCTTCAAGTACATATAAAGAAGAAGAAAAAAGCATTTGATTGGAGGTCAGGTATTCTTATATGACTGGGAAAATCATTTAGTCTTTGCCTCGTTTTCCGATCTGCAAAATACAACCTTTATGGGACAATATAAAGAAACTCTTCAAGGAAAGGCCAGTCTGATTTACTAGATGCTATGCATACAGCTTATAAACTCCTGAGATTAGGTGTACTTTTAGCTTTTACTGTACTCAAACAACAAGAAGGAAGATGAGAGCATTCAGTTTCTATTTGTTTTAGGGAGGATTAAAAGCTGTTGTCTGGACAGATGTCTTTCAAATGGTCATCATGCTGACTGGCCTCATAACAGTTTTGATCCGAGGGACTATTCTGAACGGCAGCCCGACCAACATCTGGCAACGTGCCTCTGAAGGATCACGACTAAACGTATTCGAGTAAGAAAAACAAATGCTGCGGATTTTTTCTTTCTGTGCATTTAATGTTTATAAACACTACTCTCAACAAGCCAAAAATACTCACAAACTATGCGATTCAGAAGCCTATTCCTTACTTTTTTTCAGTTCTCAGGAACATAGTAAACCTTCCAGAACTTTAGTTCCTCTTTCTATTAACCTCTTCAAAGAGATCAAAGCCCTACTGGACTGACAGAGAGCTTTGCATATTTTTCTTTGCCTAGCTCCTCACAGAACACAATTACTCTTTCCAACAGGATATTTATTTCATTCTCCATCTGTAAGACTATCACTTTATTTTAAATTCCCTCACCACAGCAGCTAGCAGTGCACCAACGTGCTGGGGTAACACACTGCTCTTCTGGCTGTCCATGGCAGTGACTGACAAGTCCATTGATCAAGGCAAGTCACTGACAAAAACTAGCAGGAAGGTCAAGCGTCATCTGTTATACACAAAGATTAAGAGCTGGAAAGAGGAACTTTAATTATACTGGTTAGAATTACTGAGCAATGAAGTTTCATTAAAAAAAAAAAAAAAAGAAAAAAAAAAGAAAAAACTCCACTGCAACTGAAGCCATTTCTTGTGATAGAGATAATATATAATGATGATATAACTAAGGGAGCTTAGGGAATTCAAGTTTAGCACGTGGCTTTCTCACTTGCTGAGATCAGGTTCACAGATATGATAGCTTACAAGTCTGTTGACGTGATATGAAAGAGATCTGAAATTTGAGCATAATAAGCTTATATATATATAATTTTTTATCCCAATTTAATGATGCAGTATAAAAGTTAAAAAAAAAAAAAAAAGCACCATACTTTCCTCCCTCCCCCCAACACACACACCAGATGTTATCCGTATGGTAAAACTGTGTTACCAATGCAGTACTTCTGATTATAATATAATAGACCAGATAGTTCTGAAAGTTCAGCTAGCTCTTGCTAAATAAAAGTGTGTTTAAACAAGTGAACTGAATTGCTTCCGTGTCTCCCTTCTAGCTTTGATATGGATCCTTTAAGACGACACACCTTTTGGACAATTGTCGTTGGGGGAGCATTCACGTGGCTAGGAGTCTATGGAGTTAATCAGTCCACGATACAGAGATGCATTTCTTGCAAATCAGAAAAGCACGCAAAACTGTGAGTTACCTAACTTTAAACTATTCTAGTAATCAAACGTACTGACTTGGAATTACAGTCTGCCAGTTATGATAAATAAATATAGGCGTCCCATTGGGTGGTTGTATGTAAGCCACTGGAAAGATCTGCAGAGGTTTGTCCTGACAGTCGTACTCCCTCTGGCTCTACATGACATAAGTAGGTAGGTAGGTAGGTAATTTATTATTTATTTAACAGCTTATTAATTTGGGGTCAGGCTGCCAAACTAGTCTTCAGAAGCAGAGTATGGAAGAGATATCTATGCAGAAGAAGTGCCCTCTGCAGCGTTCTTGGAAAATCATTCTTTCTGGAGGTGTATTTATGCTGTATTTCATTAAAAGTGGTTATTGATTTCACAGGGTATTACAGGACAAGGCATCATCTAAATAAAGCCAGATCAAATACCCAACAGAAAATAATTATAATCCGTGGAGATGGAATTGGTGAAACTCCGCAATATAGAACAAGTCTCCAACCCACTAGCTTAAGTTCAGCATTAGTATGCACAAAACCGGATGCACAATTTATCAAACAACTAAACTTCTTCATATGCCTAATGCTTATTGCTTGCCTACTTGGTTGAAACTGAAGAAGGAAATAATTATTTTCTTTAAGACATTTAAAGGCTTTTAAACACACTAGTTGTGATCATATTCTTCTTCTTAAGTTATGATGGATAATACCAATTGACTCTGTTGAAATTCTGTCTCTGAAAATGTTTGGGAGTTACAACAGCAAGAACGTCAGTGGTACCAAGTCCAAAAAGACCTGCGAGCCCTGGTATACTGTGTTGAGCTGGAACCGGCTCCAGCAAGAGAGCTAGAATTAGCTTTCACTGAAGTTAGTAGTATTTTGCTGCACACTTACCTGCGGAGACGTTTCAGAAGTTATATACCTAGCTTTGATTAAGGCCTCTCTCAAAAGAGTTCAAAATAAGTAACCACTAACAGCTTTTCCACATTTATCTTGTATTAAACAGGATTTCTCTCTTTCTTTCTAGGGCACTTTACCTCAATTTATTAGGACTTTGGATAGTCCTGGTGTGCTCAGTATTTTCTGGTTTGGCGATGTATTCTCATTATAAGGATTGTGACCCTTGGACTGGTGCTTTCATTTCAGCACCGGATCAGGTACAGACAGGGATTATGATGATTAAGTGCTGTTTTGGGCCCAGACATAGCACCATACACACCGCATAGATTTAGGGGGAAACTGCGTGTCCTTTCAGCTCCACAGGTGCTGAAGCGGTTGCTGGAGCAGGGCTAGGATATGTCCATTCTGGCACTCTGGTAGCATTAATTTGATTGTGGAGTTTCACAGAATGACATCCCCTTCTCTCAAGATCTGAGATATCTTGTTAGTCCAACAAAATCAGTTTTGCAGCACAGTCAGGAGCAGCTGCTCTTCTTCCTCAACCCAGAAAAACCTTAGCTAACTTCCCGTGTCGCTCTTGTGTTTCTTTTACTCCAGCTTATGCCATATTTTGTTATGGACATTTTTTCTTCGATGCCAGGAGTCCCGGGACTCTTTGTTGCCTGTGCGTTCAGTGGAACACTAAGGTCTGTGAGCCTGAAATGACACTTCAGCTGCTACCTGCCATTGATTTTGGAACAGCCAGGACGGGGTCAGCATGTGAAATACTAAGAAACGCATAACTGTCCTTCTTAGTATCTTTGGGGGGGGTGGAAAGGAGGAGGAGGGGGAGCAGTAGTGCTTTGATGCCTTGCTTTTATATTCATGGCAAAATCTAGCTCCGCTTCAGCGATATCTTTTAATGCATTATCAACATAAACAAAAGGGTAGAAAAAACTGAAGAAATATCAGGTCTCTCTCTCTCGCCAAAAGGAAAAAAAAAAAAAGCTCTGCTTCTGTAAATAACTTTGGAGCTGTTCAGGATGAAGTTGCTTTTATTTAACCTGATTGCCACAACACCACAGTTAGGAATAGCCTGTCTGTATATAAACACAGAATTAGATCTGGAAATAAGCAGACTACCTAGAAATGTTTTAGGAATTGCCTGTTCTGTAGGTTGGTGCTGCAGAGTATTATAGTATCTATCTTCTGCAGGCCAAACATCCAAACACTTATGGGAACATTAGAGAGAGAGATTTAAATTCCTGGTGGCATTAGACAGAGAGAATAGAGGCAGCCTCCAATAGGCTGTCTCAAAACGCTCTCACCTGTAGAAAGAGTAAGGGAAGCAAGAAGTGTCAATAGAGGAAAAACAAAAACACACAGAAGCCCCTGGCTGCTCCTGGAAGGAGACTAAGAGAACAGAATAAAGAGAATTGAGTACCAAATATTTTGCAATAGGTTTTGATGCTGCAAGATCCTACTTGCTAAATATTTTAATCAGATTGCATAACTTGCCTAGCTGCAAAGACTGGCTCTATTTCAAACTATTTCTCTTCTGCCTTTTTTAAAGTTGTGTGAGAAAACAGAATAGACATTTTGTGGCAGTATAGTGCACTGTCTCAGGAGCAAGTTCTGCTGCATCTAGGAGTAAGTCACGCTCTTGGAACAGGTGCTGATCCCTTCCAGTGTGTAAATTCAGAGAGACATCACGGAAATCAGAGCCATAATCCTGCAAATTCAAAGATGATTTTTCTAGTTACTGAATATTCAAATTATTTTACAGAATAGAGAGAGAAAACTGGAAACCAGGAGCATTAGCTACATATGCTGTGACCTCATTAAGGATGATAAGGTTATATCCTAAATAATAGTTATTCTTACATGGCAAAGGGAAAGATCTCCTGTCCATGAGGTATTATAAATTCACAGACTGGACTAGTTCAAAAGCTCCAGGCACTCTTTGGAAAGTCTTTTCAAAGACCACCTCATTTGCTAACATGTTTTCAGGAGGAACAGGGTATCACTAGTGGTCGTTGCACACTCTTTGACTTATAACAAAGCAACACCTTTATCCTGCAGTCTTTCAATATTTTGAAGGTCTTTGCAGCTTGATCGATTGAAGGGTCAATTAGGATATGTAGTGAGAGTTTCTATCTTATGTCAGCATGAAGTAGGGCCTCTAGTAACCACAGGAGGAACAGAAACCATCCTCACATCCTCTTTCCTCATCAGACACAAGAGCTCCTCTCACGGTTTTGCTAGGACATATCTTCGAAAGAGCCAGGGATAGAACTAAGCTGTTATAGTTTAACCCTTGCTACCCAAAGACCTTGCGAGCCCAAATTCCCTGAATTCCCAATGACACTCCTTTCGTTCAGGAAAGAACTGTTCAAGAACTATGTTTTATAGTATTAAGGTTGAACCAGAGGCAGCGTTTCTCTATATTTTCGGACTATTTTGCTTCCTATTTATATCCTTGTTTTCTCCTGTTACAGCACAGTGGCTGCAAGCATTAACGCTTTAGCGACCGTTACCTTTGAAGACTTTATCAAGGAACTTTTCCCAGACATGTCGGAGAAGAGGAGCACATGGGTCAGCAAAGGCTTATGTAGGTACTTCAGGTGGTAGTGATTTGTTTGGAGGAAAAGGCTTTCTTTCCCCCCACTTACCTGCTATTACTATAGCACAGAGTAGAGCAGGATTTTGTATACTTTATTGAGGAGCTTTATTGCCCTAAGCTGTCTGCTCGGTCAACCCAGAGAAAGGTAGGTTTCTCTGGGGAGCAAGGCACCAGCCTGTGACCTGAGCCACCATGGGAAAAGCCTCTCTAGCCCACACCCTCACCACCGATCAAAGGAGCCAGCAAAGGGGAGGCTCTTCACTTGAGCCCCTCAGCCACATAATTACAAGAGAACTAACTGAACCTGGTTTTAGTTACGCGACAACACGGTCTAGTAACATTTGAGCTGTCACAGAGCGGAGCTGTGAAGTACTGATACTGCAAACCTGGGAAACCCATTAATGGGCCATGAACCAAGCAAACACGTATGACAGTACAGAACGGCGTGCTCTTCCTGGGAGCAAAACCAAGGACTGCGGTGGTAGGACCGACTTTGAACTATAAGTAAAGCTACAAAAGTTTAAGCTATTCTATAGTTAGAGGGCTAAAATAAAGGAGAGGAGGGACAGGGAAGCCTGTTGCTGGCTTGCAGAAGTCCGCACGTTACTTCACGTAGAACAATGAAAATTTATTCCACAGGAACAAGTTCACCCCAAAAGCAGTTCTGCAAGCAGTCCATGGCAGTGTCCATACACCTGCTTAAGAAATGCACTCCTCCTTCCGAAACCTCTGTGGCAGCGTAACTGCTTGTGAACAGACACGACAAAGCCTGATGCTGCAGTAGAGTTGAGCGTGGGCACTGCTTTGCACGGAAACAAACGCAGGCCGTCGTGAGCAGCGGCTACGGCAAAATCCTTTGAGAAATGCTAACATCATTTTTCCTGTGCTGAAAGCACTGGGGAGCTCTCCGGAAACTTCTTTGTAATACAAAAACCATTATCAGTGTAGTTATTACTATATTAATCTAAAGCAGTATTACTACATACTATTATGTTATAGCATTACCATAAAACTTTCCTGTTCAAGCTTAGAAGATCATGTAGGGCAGGTTGCTCAGTTTCTCAGAAAAATTAATCACTACAGCAGCTGAAACAGACAAGTGAAAAACAAAGGAAATAGCAAAACATGAGGAGTCTGAGGTGATCTGAATTTCTAGGACAACTTTACAAGTAGCGTAATATGTGTCATAACCTTTTACTGATGACTGCAAAGTTCATACAAGCACCAAAGCAATATTCTCTCTGTCGTTTGCCACTTACTTCTGAAGTTTTTGTGCTCAGGACCTAGACAGATCATTTTTATCGCCTAAAACAAGCTGTACTAGCGTATAAGATGAGAACAGTCAGCTTGACTCAAAATTAATACAAAGTTCTGCGTAACGCAAAGTTAAAATTGGTGTCAAACGAATAGAACTACTTTGCGTGTCACTGCTGAATTAATTTGGTCAGACCATTTAAAAAAAAAAAAAGCTATTTAAATGCATGGAGGCGGAACTGCTGCTACACTAGACACCCTTTCTGAGTTAAATTCACTGCTAAATCCCCTTTTGCAAGAAAATCGGCGGGACTTCACGCGAGACGCCGCCGGGCGTTCGCTGGGCCGTGCCGCCTCGCTACTCGGAGGCGTCGTGCAGGTACCGGGCGCTCCGCAGTCAGGGCAAAACGGGTTGCGTTACGGTCGCGGGCGCCTTCTCCATCTCATGCCGCTTTCCCCGGGCACTCAACAGGACGCACACCTCAGAGCCTCCTCGGTGACAAATCCCGGCTTCAGAGCCCAGCGCTCTGCCACCCAGATCCCCCATGACCCCAGTAATTCGTCCAGGCACTCACACCTTACTGCCTCTTCTATCAAAGAGCACCCTTAAAAAACATCCTCCCTAGCCACTCGCTCAGGGTTGGGACAAAATGCTGATTGCAATTGTTTTTCTCTTTAGCTGTGCACCGAAATGACCATTTGCACGTTCTCCCCCTCTGTTTGCCATTAGAAAAGAAATCACATTTAATTTAAAGACTAAAAATGAGAATTGCACAGGCTTTCTCCAGCTCCGGCATTAAGCTTGTGCCTCTCCTCCGCTCCCGCAGGCCACGCTCACCATCCACGGGATGTGCGGGGGGCCCATGCTGGGGCTGTTTACCATAGGAATTCTGTTTCCCTGTGTTAACTGGAAGGTAAGAAAAAAATCCTATCATTATCTGAAAGGAAACCTCTTGGTGTTGTCTGGTTAAAAGTGCATGTTTAAGGTTGGGTTGTTTTTCAGATTTAGACTCCAGGCGGGTATGTTAAGATGCAGAGCCAGAGGAGTCTGAGGACAGTTTAGAGGTCCCTGTTCACTGTCTGAATTTAGCCCGTCTGAACTTAACTCTACTGAACAGCAGCATAATTAGATCCACATTTCAGTGCTTCCTTTTTTCTGAGCTTCTTATTAAAATAATTAAAGATAGGAGGAAAAACGGGGGGGGGGGGGCCAGCAGACACTCCTGCTGAGAGGCGCACTGCTTTCGGTTGCTCTGCCTTTGCTAAGTCAGGCAAAACACAAGACAAGGCCATTTCATACCGCCTTGAGAGCTGCTCCACCATCGTTATCCAGAAAGAAAACAACCCCACAATTGTAGCTTTAATCATTACAGTTTTGCTTCAACTCCAACTGCTAGAGGGCAATAAATCACCATGTTTCATACATCAGTTAAGGGAAAATACAACTGATTTATACCCACATATACCAGGATCATATAAGATCATAACCAATTATCACCTACTATTACCTAACTCACCTTTACAGAGTTGCATTTTGGTTATCACCAACAGTTTCTCTTTTATATTTGCCCAGGGTGCAATCGGAGGCCTCTTAATTGGGATCACAATAGCTTTTTGGGTTGCGATCGGCTCTTTCATTTACCCTGTGCCCTCAGTTAAGGCCGTCCCTCTGGACCTCTCCACGGCAGGCTGCATACTAGCCAACAGCACCGACACGCTCACCACCGTGGCTCCCACCACGGCTCCAGCCAGGTATTTTCCTACAGCCAGAAGACAACGCAGACGTACCTGGTGGGTAACTACTGTCACAAGCTGCTCTGTCCTCTCCTGCCATGTTTTCGCAGGCCGCTGCTGGCAGACACGTGGTATTCCCTGTCCTACCTGTACTTCAGTGCTATCGGCTGCCTGGGGTGCATTGCCGCCGGACTGCTCATTAGCTTTGCCACAGGTTGGTTTAATCCCAAATTTTGGTTTTGCCCCAGAACACAGCTCAGCTGCGGGCCCAGCAACACCCACCTGGCAGCTCGTAAAGGACAGCTGCATTAACTCGCTCCCACCTGCAGGCTGAGGCTCTCCAAGCCTATGTCTGCGTTCCCCATGGAGTTACATATCATTAATTGCTATTTTGCCCTTGCAGGACCTAGTAAAGGAGAAGACATTCCACCAGTATTAATTAAGCCAGTCTGCAACCTGTTTTGCTTTTGGTCGGAGAGACTCAAAACTTTGTGCTGGTGTGGTGTGCAACACAGCAGCAAAGACGTGAGTATTTTAACAGGTCACGACAGCCCTGCCTTGACTTTTAGAGAGGGGTGTGCGTACATGCACATATGCGTACGAGTGTGTGTGCCATGCAGAGACATGATTTCAGCACTCATTTTTAAAAATCATGCAAGGGCTCTTTGTAGGCATCACAAAGTGGAAACAAGGAAAGCTGAAGCTTTCCACACTGCTTCAGTCAGTAATAGGTTACATATTTTCGCTGTCTGCTAGTGCAGAAAGAATCACAGCCCTTGGACAAACCAGCGGCCTGTGGATGCTGGGGCTGCCTGTCCTCCCCCGGCCTGGCTGAGCAGAAACCCTGGGTGTGAAACTGCACTTTACACCAAGGAGGTGCCAGCTCCAGTGCCTGCACCTCACACCGAGCCCAGGCTCCATTGGGAGCAAGGAGACAACACCCAACACCCCTCCAGCCCTCACGGGAGGCCACGGTGCTTTGTAGCGCATTAATGAACCATGATGGACGAGCACCTCGTTTCCTTGCGCTGGTCTCACAGTTGGCATAGAAAAAAAGTTGTTTCATCCTAGCAAAAGCTGCTCAGTTTAGAGAAATAAGGCAGTGCAAAAAAACTCCTATGTTTTCAGCTGCTTTAGACTAACTTACAAGTATCTTTAAATCTTGAAAGTAATCTTCAGACTACAAGGCACACCATGCTGAGGGATAACGTAGAAAGTGTCTCGCCCCACACAGCTTGCATTAGATTTGACAGTGGCAGGATGGTTCCACCTGGAGAGCAGTTGCGCCTCTAAATTTGCTTCAGCTGTTTCATTTGGCTTTTAGGTCTCCAACAGAGACTTCCTTTAGAACTTTTCTAGAGGGGGAAAAAAGGCTCCCCATATTAATAAAAGCAGTAAAATAAAAATATCATATGCCTTTATCCCTTTATATTTACTTGAAATATAAAATGATAACATCAACCAAGTAGTTGCAGTGTGAAACACTGAGGCAAGTATAGGTATGACCAGAAAGACAATCCATTAAAATGTAGATAAATATGCTCATGAAAAATCAAATGGAAGTGATTTGAAACACAACTAGAGCCCATTTCAGAACATGAACAGAGGAGCTGTGAGAAACTGGTTTTGCTGCTTTTGTCTGAGGCTTTCTATGAGGGAATGAGAAAATCAGTAAATGTGTGTGTGCGTGTCGGGGCGGGGATGGCACCATGTATGGCTGTGGGTCTGAGAGTCATTTTAAATAGTGAACTCTTCAGATTTCTATGGGAAAGGATATCAAAACTTCAAAATGCAACAAGATACCTTTTAATGAGTAGTAAAATGCAGTGAATAACTCACCCTTCAAACTCTTGTGTGTTTTTTTCCAGGTGGACTTTGAAAACAATCTGCCTAATGTTACTACAAAGAAAGCGGAAACAGATGATGCCTTCCAGAATAAAGTCGAGAAAGAAAACCAAAGCCAGTTACCTGGTTACAATCCTGAGGAAAAATCCTATACCAATATGAGCACAGAATCTCGCCTCTAGAAGCTGAAGGACAAGGGATGTTTAATCAAACTTCAGTTCTCCAGCTTCAGAAATGATGAGCGCTTTTTATTGCATTTTACCAGCTTGTAGATGACTAATGGAGACCAATTGCTTTCTATAGCAATAAAGGCAGATTTTTATTTATGACTTTCATGACAGGACTGGGAAATCATAAGACAATGAGGTTTTGGAAATGCTACTATTTCAGAAGAAATGTTTCATGCATATCATCATGGAATTTCCTATTAGGAATTAGCTGCAATATAGCTATATCGCGCTATCGCGCTCTGTTCAGTAGCTAGTCATTTAAGGGACTTGTGCAAAGGTGAACTTTAGATAGAGCAGGATCTCAGGTGACTTTCTAAGGTCTCTCACTAAGGTGAGGTTGTGGAGGACACGCTCTCTACTGCTTACAGTGGGAGCCACGGGGTGAGGAGGAAGGCTGGGGCAGCTACTCTGGGCCTGTTATTAGATATTGCAAAAAGCCTCCTCTCAGGTATGTTGTATGGACCAAACTTTTTTTATAGACTAATCCATGCTTGCTTCCTCTGTGGGACTGAGAAACACCCTTTATAATGACTTACTCTAAGCTATAGGACAGAGTAACAGATTTTACTCTGAATTCAGGATAGTTCTTTATCTATGTTAGCCTTGGACAGACGTCCTTTCAGCTTGAAAAGATTAGAAACTTTTCTTTTTGGTTGAATGTTTGTATGTCTGGGGTTTTTTGAACTGCAAAATCCATCTACTAACTCTATGCAATAAAGAAAAAAACCCACACATTTGATGATGCCATCTAATAGAAAAGCCATAGTGAGTTTTGAAAAAAGGCTCATGATTAGGCAGAATAATGTTGCCAGCCTTGTAAGAATGTGCTTACTCCGCTAAATGCTCTGTTTCAGTGAAACATATTTCCTCCGAAACTTGACAGTTGTAAATCAAACTCAACTCATCTTACCTCTCACCTTGATAAGCTTCTGGATGTAGTTTTGGGGTGAACATAAGTGTTTTTGAATACAATTCACAATTAAATGAAACAGACCAAGCAAGAATTTCAAAGACGACTACCAAAAGTTAGGGACCCAGCTGATACTCAGCTCGTATTGCTTTTAAGATCTGAACCTTTACTTTTATTTTACCAGTGACCACCTTCAGGATGTATATATAGAGGTCAGCCCTGACCTTGAAATTGCTTCTCCCTTTCTGTGTTCACACCCCATCTCCAGGAACAGCCCCAGGATATTCAATCAGAGAGCAGAAGTAACAGACACTACCTTGCTTGTGGGTGACAGTCTGCCAACAAGCTGACAGTTAGTCATTATTTATGTGAATCGCTTTTACGTGGTTTGCAACCTCCTGAAAGCATCCATGTCCGGTGGCTGACAGCCTGTCCCTCACGTGTCTCACTCTCTGGTCGCTCTTCCATCCCTAAGGGGCTGGTGCAGGAGAGCAGGAGACTTGGTCACTGATACTGCTATACCTGTTACATTTCATGGCCACACACATCATCTCTTAGGTTGTACTAACAGAACCAAACCACCATGCTAGAAAGTCTAAAATAATTCAAGAGAGAAGGTGTTTCAAAACACCAATGTCAAACTGCATAGCTACATGGCAGATGTTATGCTTTCTCTACTGACAGTGGGAGGATAGCTGATTAAGAGACATCTGACCGTGAAACAACCAGTTTCATGGGAACTGTGCTCCAAATAATTTATTTCTTATTTGAGATACTTACTCATCACAGTATTTTTACTCTTTTGAGAATCTTTTGAGCTCTGTATGCTGGAGAAATGCTTAGTTTCCATTTTCCCATATTTTTTCATCTATTTTTTTCATATTTTTCTACATCTTCCAAAAGCTTTTGCCACAAGAGAGAATCTTTCTGTTTGTCTATTTAACGTGTAAGAAAGTGAGTTAGGTTGGCTAGAATTGTATTCTCTCGAAATATCTTTGTGGAAATCTGCTGAAGAATTTCTCTTTTATATTTCTGACTAGTTTTGTTTCAGCTAAAGCTATTCATTTGGTCCTGGTGTTTTTTGTATTTGTAAAGCAGTTAAACATTTCACAGGGTTTAGCTTAGTCCCATATGTAGACTTACATATGACGGCTAAAATAGTAAATCAGTCTTGTACCAAGTTTTAAGGATGTGGCCTAGCAAAATTGGAATTTAGAAAAATTACTTTTTTGATTAAATATTCATATCGGTGTTGATTAGAGTTAGCTGTTTATTTACTTTATGTCCTGAACCAAGGATCCTTCCAGAGAGGGAAAGTCCTTTGGAAGGACTCGGTAAGAAAACTCAGCAAGGTCCGTTTGGAGTTTTATCCAATTCCGTACAGGGCTGGAGTTTGTTGTTCCCCTCCTTGCAAAAGCAGAAGGCGCAAGCACACAAATCCTTGAGCGCTCAGAGGGCATATTGCATCATTCTTGAATTCTTCAATGCTGAATTTGTCTTTTCTAGTATTTTCCTTTAAAACGGAGATCCAGAAGATGGAAGAGCTCTGGATCATAAAGGAAGCCCCTGGCTGTAACAGCCACCTGCTGGTTTTCTCGGAGGATGCGACTGAAGTGTTTTCCAGCGTCCTGTATTTAGCTGAGCACGTTTCTCTGCATTAGAGTATTCTGGGGGCTCAGAGTTAGCCGGTGCCATTGAACTGAAGAAATGAGATGAAGAAACTAGGAACATGTAAACTTTTTAACAAGAGCTTAAATTTAAGACATTATTAGTCGCTAGTGAAAGCAGTAGACCATTGGCGACGGAAAATCGGCAAAGTGCATATGTGCCTTGAGAATGCACTAGGTAAGGTAGTATTTAAGGATTAATCCTTAAACTAGAGTCCGAACAAAGGTTTAACCCTTAAATTACTTCCTATTATGGCTGGAAGGCACACGAACACTCCCTTTTTGAATCTGAGATGACCGCTTAGGTATATTCACTTGTACGGGACTTTAACACATGCAAGTTCTATGTGGCTTGATGCTAGAAGATAAAAAGTAACATTCCTTCAGTGAAACACACAGTACTTAGTCTCAAACTCTTAAATGCAGAGTATGAACATTAGTCAAGTAGATACTGATTGAGATTTGGCACTGAGAGATTAGTATACATTTTAAATTAGGTTGAAGTTAGTATGAAGTTTTATTTATATATACAGCTGGGTTAGAGTAGCACACATGTCCAAAATCTGTGTATTTTTTTTTTCATATTTTTGAATATTGGAATAATGAAGTTCAAACGCCTTCAAAGATATCCAAGTTTATTACTGAAAAATGCAATATTCAAATGTGTATGATACAGTAAGTAGTTGCATTTGTACATGTAAACCTTGATAAAGTAAACAGCATCTCAAAGACAAATTTATGCCAAAAGTGTCTTACAATAATTAATCAGATCAACAGTTTCCTCAGTGTATTCTTTTAATTCTGGGGTACATATCGGGATAAAAGTAATCCTAAAACACAAGAGAAAGCGAGAGCTGACAGGCCAGAGGAACTTCTAGCATGTAGCGCATAAAAGTCAATTTTTCTGAAATATTTTGTGGTAAGTATTGCAATCTCATTTCAAACATTACTTACAAAATTTGGATTTATGAATAGAAAAAATAGTTGAAATTTTATTCTAATTCCTTACTTAGAAATCAAGTTGTATTTAAATATTACATAAACTTCAAATATATACACATCTTAAGAAATCTCTTACGATCATGATATTGCAAGTTAGCCAGGACCATCAGAGTAAAAATGACTGAAGTATGTTATTTAGTTAGATTTTACATGAGATTATTTCAAACACTTGAAATTTCAGTGACACTAATCTAGGTAAAAATCAGAGTAAACAGTTTGGTAGATTTTTCAATACAAAATTCTCATTCATCTAAATAGAACACAAAATAAAAAGGTGATTGAATTTTTTTTTCTATTTTCAACAGAAAACTCACCACGTTCCCAGTGATTAAAATCTCATTAGCTGTAGACTGCGTTGGGTTTGATGCTAATTTCTTGTCTATTAGCACCCTAACAACTGATTCACGGCAATACGAATGCAAACCACAGAGAACGTATAACATTATCGAGGCTACGGCAAAAAGGTCGAACAAGCCAATGGAAATAACACAAGATAATTTTCAGTGCAGTGAGGAGGGAATGTACCACTAACATTTCAAGACTAAATCCCAGACCTGCGTTAAAAATGTTCCTGTATAATATGGAATAGCAAAGTGCTTTCTCTACAGTCCCTTATTGTGCTGTTAACGATAACTCTGTGCTCTTGTGGTAACATTGTGCTATCCTGACTATGCCAAAATCATGCCAATACAAATTTCTAGAAAATGTGGCTGCTACGTCAATATTAAGAGAAAAATTTTCAACACAAGTCTATTCATACAAATGTAAAAATGAAGTCAATCTTAGGATGGCTCAGGGTCTTTAGGACGACACTAGAGTGCGTGTGTGCCTGAGTGCAGGGAGGGACATATGCAGTACAAAATTTAGTGCTTGGGAAAGTGGCCAAAGGGGCAGCTGTGGCACCGGTGGCCCAATGGCACACGCTGACGCACCTCGGGGCTCCTCACCCCCCTCTGCCCTGTGCAGGCAGACCTGGAAAAAGCACCAGATCGACTAGTATTTGTGCACTTTCTCTGCTTTGGCTGCCTGGCTAGGGCCATCCACAAAAGAGCCTGTATTCAAACAGTTTTAGTCAGGTAGTTGCTCTGGAAATGGGACAGTCGGCCAGAAGGCATCGTTTAATACTGGGGAAAAGCGAGAACGAACTAGAGGAGAAGAGAGCAAGGAGAACGAAGGCTGTCACCCTCCGTTTGTTTTGCAGAGCCAATGCAGAGTTGAGGCCAAAACCCACAGAAGTGAACGGGCAGCCTTTGCTTCCTTCCTCTGCTCCTAGCGAGTCTCAAAAGGGTGGTTTGTTACACTTCACCCTAGCAAAACGCTCCGCTAGTATGAGGCTGAGGTACAAAGAGATAGAGGGATATTTTAAAGCTGCCAAATTTTCCACCACAGGAATATAGGCTTGCAAGAAAGACACTTTTAAAACGTGTCACTGCACTCACTGAAGTCAGACAAACTATGCACCGAAACTAACAATTTATTTAATCTTTCTCAGCACAAAAGTCAGTCTAAATATGGAATTTTGTTTGAATTCTGGTGCTGTAACATCAAACCAACTCTGTTATGAAAGGATGGCTGTATATTTGTTTCAACTTTTACCTCCCAACGATCAACATTAGTATTTTTTCATGATTACAAAAAAAAAAAAATGCTTTTGGAAGTACTACTGTATTTTAAGTGACCATTGATAGCATTATTTTTGTCTCAAACCCTTTTCTACTATGAACAATAAATAGAAAATGTGATTGATTGATCTTCAATTAACTTTATTGCCCTCATATTCAGCTATTTATATAAAATAAATTTTATTTATACGACCACTGCCCAGTGAATATAAAAACTGTAATCTGTAATAGTTTTAATGAAAATTATGAAAGTTGGAAGTTAACTATATAACAATAGTTATAATTTTTCATTGTGTGGACATGGATCATTTTCAGGCAATCAAAAATGATATGATGTTTCTTAATATGTATATACCAATTACCACTGAACTGTGGCATAATTCAAAATATTAATTAATCCCACGGTGCAGTATAACCAATTCACAGGCAAACGTTAACGGATCCCAAAGCTCCAGAAATTCTCTCTGGCAGCATTAGTAATCGGAATTTGCAGTGCGAAAAGTCACAGCAAGGAAATTTCAAATGCCCCAACCTTATAGATCTTATATTAGATTGATCATCTTAATGACACATTCAGAATAAAATCTCACCAAATTTCTCACACTTCCCCAAACCAAATTCCCTCTACGGCTATATTTCCCAAGATTTTCCATTCTGCAGAACACTTCATGAAGGAAACCTTACAAACTTTATGGATTTATGCATTAACCTTTATGTAGCTTATTTTTACCAACTCCTTTGGATATTTTTCTTTGAGTCTTCAGCAGGGCACATTCGAGCCTAAATGATCCTCACAACAAAATTTAAGACAAGTTGCTGTCAGAAAAGGGCACAGTAACAAGCGATGTGTCTGTTTTGTGGTAAGGAAGACATGTACTTTAAAGAAATAACACTTATGGCCTATCATCACTATGGAAACTTTAGCCTTGGGGGTCATCAGTATTAACTTTAATGTTAGTCCCAATTTTCTCTATGAAACATTTAGCAACAAGGGGTAGGAAAGAAAAAGAAAAAAAAATGGCCACAACACAGCGTGCCTTGTTTTCAAATCTTAGCACTCTAGCAGGATGCCAGTCACCGTGATGTTTTACTGGTAAAAACTTTGAACTAGAGGATACTAAACGGGGGGTTTTACTCAATCTTCAGGCAATCCTGTTGGCACTCTGGCGTGCACACTGAGCTCTTCCTGCCTCTCTCCAACTAGACAGAGGCTCTCAGCTGTAGGAGGGAACGACGCCTTAGGAGGTCTCATGAAGCAGAACTCTTTGGAGCCATTCCTCTTTGATGCCTTTTTTTACTTTTTCATTCACCACAATTCAGAGCTCACACGTCAGGCACAAATTTAGATGAAAAGTAATTGAAAATGAGATGTGTATAACGTATGTGGATTTTCCACTATTTTTGAAATACAGGTTTTTTTGACTGAATCAAGCCATTGAATTTGGTTAGGAATAATTAAGACATTTTGGATTAATCTTCTGTATTTAAAAATATGTACTTGCTCATGCAGTCTCTCTAAGGGCGCATGCATAGAGCAAAGTTGTCACAGATTAGATCAGCAATGATCTAAAGCAATTTTGCACAAACTCTATGTTATGTAGCTTTGTCAGTTTTCACAAATGCAGCTTGCATGCACAATCTATTCATACTGGTCATTTTTTTGGAAAGACAATACTTAGAATATGAAAAGATCATTCACCATTCATAAATTACGTTATTCCTGAGGACAGTGTGTACCTTATACTTTAGTAAAATAACGTGCAGTCAATGCAAACACCACGCAAAATGAAGTCTAGCAAAAAGTTTTCTCAGCTTAAGCAAACGGCTAGTGGCAAAACTTTAGACAATGCTGACATCCTCCAGAAACAAAAGAACACGCACAGGTATTCTCCAAAACTTCTTGTGCTTTCCCAGTGCATAAACTGAACAATGTCAGATCTACATACCTGCCTTTAATATACTTTTATATGCTGAAAATCATTAAGAATATAAATATTTAAATCCCAAACCATACTCAAATACAAAAAGGTTTTCTTCCATATGCATTGTTAAAGTCCATCTGGGATTTTGCTAACTTTATATTGACATGTGCCAATACCCACAGCAGAAAGAAGAAAATACAAAACAATTAATCAGCATTTCCTATTTTTGCCTAATTTTATGCTAAATCTTTATACCTTGGGCCAGCCAAGGCATTTTTTTTTTTTTAAAGAAAACATTAAAAAGACAGCTCATCTGTGACTTTATGAAAAACTGAAGTACTATTATTATTCGGCACGGAAATGGAACCTGTGACACATAGTTAATGCTGTCAAATGGAGCTTGATATTCTACAGCATAAACAGTGAAGGAATAAATTAAATCAAATAATGTGATTATATAAGCACTGGATAGAATGATTTAATTATTTCTGAAAAGGAATCCCAAGGAACTGAAAATGCAAACATAACTGAAAGGAAAAAACAGCCTTTCCAAAATACAGAAAGCTGAATTCCACCAGCCCCTTGTCATAGAGCTAATGGCCAATACAGCTGATTAGACCATAGCTTCCAGCTTCTTTCCTCCTTTGTGCAATACTATAGATACTCCTACAGTTACCTTGCTTGGTCACAAAGAACTGGAATTAACCAAGAAATCTCATGAATATGGTAAACTCACTAAAGAACTTCAGGTCTGATGCTAGGCCTCCCCCAGACACGATAGATCTCGTTCATCCAATTTAATGGGCTCTTGACTCTTAAAATTAATTTTATATGAGATAATAAAATAAATTAATTTTTCAAATATATGGAAGTGAATACTGCAATCACACTTTTTGGCTAAATAGGGTATCTTAAGAAATAAAACTTCAGGTCTTTTCTTATCTGTCATCAGTGGTTTCCCTGCAGCTTTATCACTAAAACTGATGCTAACATTTGCATTTATTACAGTTATTGTGCTTTGTTGCATCTTTGTTTTTAAAATTTTTCTCATCTAATATAAATAAAAAAAAAATCAACTGTACAAGAGAAACAGAATGATTGTAACTTTGTCCTCACACCCTCTTCTCTGCAAGTGAATCCTGCTCACTTGTTTAAATTGTTTAAATTAAGTGCTTCTTTTCCCACATTATGAAACATTATTAATAGACAATTTAATCACCAAAATGTGACTATTACCATAAGCAACGCTGCCTTAGGCTGTATGCACATAAAAACTGAAATTCGATTATTTACGTGAACTTCTACTTTTAGTGATTTTATCCAAAAAGCCCCCCAAAATTGTAAGAAGGCACAAAAATAATAATAAAAAAAAACCTAAAAGTATCCACTGCCTGTGTATGCATTTACATACAATCTGTATACACAGCTGCATGTATCTAATTCCCATGCTTTGACTTGTTTACCCCAATAACAGAAGTGCACATTACTGGAACATTTACTATTACAATAAGAAGAGCATTGTTATAAAGTGCTCTACTTTTCCTTCCCTGAACAAGAAGGTCACAATGTGATAGTGTATGTCTGATACATATCCGCATAAGCTCGCATAATATAAATAGTTATTTGTGTATTCAGAATGAAGTCATTTGCTGTGTATTAGAATATTTCAAGGTTACACTCTGTGAAGTCATAGAATCATTGCCCAGAGAGACCAGAGAGAACAGTAACACAGTTAGACATTGGCATGCTGCATCAGAGCATGAAAATGACTGTTTCATTCTGGAGGTGTGTGGAGGTGGCCTTTCTGCATATAAAACTGAAAAGACAATTCAATAGCCATGTCATTTTCAAATATAGCTGCAAGTGGGCAATGCAACGTGCTCTTGGTGCTGCTCTTTTCTCTTTGAATTTAGAATTTTTGGTTTTCAACTAGAAAGGTAAATTAATGAAATTGGTGTGCAAATCTTAAACTGCATAGTATATATTAAGCAGCCATATACCCCCTTGTTAGGGTAGGACCACATCCACAATCTCAACATGAGACTAGGACAAACCTGACAAAACAGTAAGCCTGAAAGATCATTTATATCAAGTTATGGCCACAAAGGCAACAATTGCTCTTTTCTTCAGAGGCATTACAGATGCAGCTGAGCAATTAGAAGCTGTAGAAATAGTGGATATCACATGAGTTGTTTTTAGTCATGCCCTTACTGTATAAGCTTACAGGTAATATTTTATTTTCATTAAGCTGTTAGTATCTTCATGAATAGCATGAACATTCATTGCCTTTTCTAAATCAGCGTTCAAATTTTGGATCTGTCTCCACAGTCTTCAGTGCCGATCTTGTCCTTGGTGCTCACCACCAGCCAGTGACAGATAAGGCTATTCATTGGAAGCATCTATTTTCCAGTTCCCAACCAAAGCTTGCAGCGGTACTGCCCATCAAGAACATATATACACTGTGAATCTCATACACTCGTGCCAGATGCTGACCTTGTTTTGTAACTGCACTCTTCAATTCCAGTGTTTTTGTTGCAGCACAGTATCAACTAAGGCCATTCATGGTGATACTGTTTCCCATTCTTCTTCCGCTCTCTCTGCAAATGCTCCAGTTCAGCTTCATACATCATTTCCTGGACTAAGTACTTCTCTCTCCTCATTCTGTCACACAAGTCTTTGGGCATGTCTGGAATCAGGTAGGCAATGAAAGACTTTATTCCAAAAACAAGATGCTGAAAAGAAGAACAAAAATAATTACTTCAAAGATGCTTAAGCATTCATTTCTAGGACCAGATTTTAGGGCCTAAAAGTCAGTGGCAAAACTGGAACTGAGATTTGATTTAGGACTGAAAAGTGATCTGTGTATTTGTGTAAGTATACACAAATATACATACACATAAGTGTATATATATACACATACACACATAAATGAGCAGTTTACCACAGTATCAGAAAGGGGAAAATGCTGAAGTCTTCTAAAAAGTAAAACTAAGGGTATATCTAGTGACCTAAATTAAGATGTGACTGCAGGATATGCTAGTTTCAATAACAATAGCAAACATTATGTAGAAGCAGTCTTTACTAAGAGCTTGTAATCAAAACATGTAACCAGATGCCCTGGTGAGTATGTAGTCCACTTCAAATGTGTTAATACTTACAGTTTTACTTTTATACTAGGCTACAATCACGTATCATTTTGCTGGCACACACATTCTAAGTTGTTATAGCTATGCTTAACGTACACATAAATCTTATTTTTTCTTTTTCAATAAAATGTGAAAGATTTGGTTAGGAATCGACCTGATGTATTAGAAGTAGAGAAAAAAAGACTTTGGAGGGATTCTAAAATCTTTGCATACTCTCGCAATGCATTTTGAAGCAACTGAGTGACAAAGGTTTTGTGGGGAGGAGGAGGTGTTCAATATTTTATTTTCTCTCTCAAGTGTAATGAACAAGCACCTGGTGATACTGAAACTTCTTCATTTATGGGCCTATTGCAAAAAAAATCCACTTCAATTTTAAATAGGCAGAAAACAATTTTTCCTTTCCATGACTGACCTCGAATACTATAATGAAAGCCAGCCGTGCTGCCAGGACATGCCAGAACTGCAAAGTGAATTCATATGGAGTCGAACTCCATGGTGGGGCTCTATAATCTCTATACCTGTAAAACAAAGAAAAAATCCCAGTAAGTTAGCCTGTGTTCAAAATCCTGAACATCGTAAAGAATTCTCTAGCCTATCCCAGAGCTGTCTAAAAGAAGAGAAAATGAAAAGAAAGCATACTTCAAGAGGAATTAAATAGAAAAGAAGAAAAACAATTCACATATTAAATAGGGCTTCCAAAAAGCCAGAGCTTTTGCTGTTCCACAGGTGACACCTTGAAGCGTTAAGTTCAAGTGTGTTGACTCCAAATTGATCCTCTTCTTTAACTATAAGCAGTTGAGATTTTCCAGACGTTTGCCTAAACGTGATGCAACTGTAGAACTTCTCAGCCAGTCCAAGCTAAGTCTCAATACGGAATTAAATCTGAAACTAGAAGTGCACTTGCGTCATCTTTATCGCAAACGCTATACAGAGGTAAATCCATACTTAATTTTTATGCTGAATTTTTGTATTCACCTTGCATAACTGCCTGGGATCCTGGGCTGGCATAGACCCAGAACAAAATGTTAATATACATTATTGAATTAATTGTTCTCAGAATGCTTAACAAAAAATTATTTAATTTAAATGAGAGCCTCATTTTATCCTCATTTTACAGCTAGGGAAACTTTCAAACAGAATAATTGATACAGGCCTGAAATATAAGGCTTATGAGAGGCCAATAAAAAACTAAGAATAGAATACAGATTTCAAATGTTTTAGTATTGCATCCTTCCACACAACCTTCCCACCTGCAACTTCCATTTTGAACAAACTCATACCACAATGCTTTTACAGGAAGAAATAAAACTACTCTGGGAGTAATTTTGGCACTGAGACTTTCAATTTAATATCTATTTCAGAAATGCGAGCATCTAAACATACCGGCAATATCCTGAGTATCCCATCCCAAGCTCACTCAGATCAAATACCGATAAACTGCTGTTGACATATCCTTTCAAGCATCTGAAGAAAAAAGATATAGGATCAAGATTTTCTCCATAAAGTGATCACATAACATAGATCCTATATGCAAACATATTCTGCTATCACATATTATGACCATTACTTTTTAATGTACTTATCAGGGCAAAAGCATTTCTAAAATTTTAAGCAGAGAAGCAAAGTTTTATTTGAAGGAATCAAATAAAATCTGTTTTAAGGATACACACTATTTTATTTTGAGCACTTTTCATCTTTTGCTTATCTACCAGCAGCTATAAAACAAACTTTGTTGCTAAAAGCAAAGTTCTTCATTGGCACCTTCTAAAACTACTGAATCTAGAAAGATGGCTAGAGATGCACAACACAGAGAGAATAATTCTTCATCCTTGAAGAACCAACCACCAATCAGGCAGCAAATACAAAAAAAGACAGGTTTTATGAGCTGAATGAAAGGAAAATTTTCACCAACACTAAAATGAACAGTCAATATATACTAAAAAGCTGTCTTAAAGGCAACAATTTATTGATATTAATGAAAGGAATCACATAAATGCATTGAATTATGTATGACTGTAGAAGTGAAATTTTTATCTATCTCTGGAAATCATCAGACACAAAGCCATCCTGTCCTCCTAAAAATCTGTCCCATAATTTAACTAAATGCCTCCAGAAAGGCAAAGAACATTCAAAAAGAGGTGTATCAGGAACTCTACTACACCTCCTGAACCTTCAGGTTTGCTGTGGTATCTCAAATCACTACTGGAGAAAGTGAGAAGAGAATTATATAGCTCTCTATTACAAGGGACCTGAAGCACTAAAATCTTACCAGTATTCTCCCTTTTCATCATTCTTCTCTCCCTTAAATTTTCTCTTCCTGCACCATCACAAGAAGAGTAAATCGCTATTTTGAATCACTAATGGAGGAAAGAGGGAAGGAAGGACAGACCCCTACAGTTTTGGCTGAGGCACACACTGTCAATGCAATGGTACTACTGGCTTGCTGGACAAGCCTTGATGCTTTGCCTTCACTCTTATCCTTCCTCCTGCGGAATAAAGATGAGTTGTGTTTGTGAGACATGCCACAGTAGGTGCTGCATTAGCAAAACGATGCTTCCTTTTCTCAAGAGAACCTTGATTCCAAAATCAAAAACAAAACAAAACACTTTCCCCTCCCCTGCAAATGAGGCACTGGGCTCTGAATGAAAGAGAAGATGCCTATGAATTTTGCAGATACAAACATCTTTTGAGATCTAAAAGGTCCCAAAGGCAGTGGAAAAATGAAGTCAGAGCATAGTGGAGCAGCGCACACCACTGGCCCAGTGGTGTGAAGATTGGCAAGATACCTTGATAGAAGCTCAGATGCACTATATAAGAAACTAGACTAAGTAGAGTCAAGGCCAATCTTGCTGGAGCTTTGGTACAAGCATTTCTGAAGAGAAACAGATGGAGCAGGTTGAGGATGAATCAGGTTTAGGCTACAAGAGGGTCTGGGAGCATATGTATGTGTGTGGGAGCGTATGGCAAGAAGAAACGCCAAAACTTTTGCAGAAAAGAAGGAAAGCTCGTCTTGGAAAAGCCTGAAAACTGCTATGATTCATATCGTACTTTTATGTATGCATTTAGAAGGGGAGTCATGATTTTCCACTGATGTAATGTGGAGCTAACCAGGAAACTCTCCTGAATGGCTGAGTTACTTGCACTTAACATCTGTGAAGTTTTGTATAGATGAAAAAGGCAAAATATTGCCAATGAAGTATACTAACACAGAAGGACAGTAGCAAAAGCACACTTCCACTGAAATATAAATGTATATATAAAAAATTTCTTCATTACTTTTCTTGTCTGTATCCTTGATCTGTGCAGGGGCCATATTTGTATGCATAGACAAAACGTGGAATGTAATCTGAAGTAATAGCAATAACAAAGGCATTGGTGATGACAGCTAGAACTCCAATTCCTTCCAGAATGCCATACCAGATACCTAGGAACAAAAGAAATGACAAAAAAGTCCATAAGATTATTCTCTTTATAGCCTTCCTTTCTTACTGAGAAAGAATTATCGAGTTAAAAAAGCCAGATCAAGATTAAGCTGTTTCAACATTCCTGCCACCATAAACTCCACCTGAATGGAAGTCTTATAGTAAGGTACACATTCTTAAGAAGAAATAGCTAAGTAATAAAAGTATAATAAAAGTATAACCAAAATCTTTGGTTATAAAGGCCAAAAGTAAACTTTTGGAATAAGATTTATTTTCATTCAATTTAATTCAATTTAAAACCAAAAGGGAATTCAGTCCTCACATTTCATGGAATCTCAGTTTTGAAATTCTATTGATTGTGGATAGCAACTTAGGTCTTGAGTTCAGCAAATTAGAAACCTAAAAGAAGAGCCTAAAAATAACACCTACGCATCTGAAAGAATGGCCTGTTTTCAAAATTCTAACTATTATGTTGCCTTACCGGAAATGGAAAGGAATTTTGAGAAGTCCTCTTAGATAAGCAATGGAGTGTGCTTTTGCTGCTTACTAAGACAGTTGTTATTGATATCTGTAGCTTACATATCAATTGCATTCTTGAAAGATGAAATATTTCAAGAGTTAAGCTACATCAAAGAAGAGAACACAAAGAGATGGTATTTGACTGTGATAGTCATTAGGTTCTCTCACCTATATCTGTTGCTCTTGCAGGCATAGGTCTCCGCCACTGAGTGACAAATTTGTATGCGTCTAACCTTATTTCTATGATATTGTTAAGCAACGCCAGGAGAGGTGCCAGTGGGAAAGCAGCAACAAAGATGGTGGTAAAGCCAAACTGTAAAACTAGAAAAAAAATTCTATGGTTAGAAGTTCGAAACGTAAAAATTTTTTTTTTTTTTTTAAGTAAAACGTTTTTCCAATTTTTTTTTTTTTTTTTTTTTTTTGAAAACTGATCTCTCTCTAACTTTGCTCACCCATCTCTAAGTATTCATCCATTAAGCCATGGAGATTCATAGGCTGCAGATTCCAATCTTTTTCCCACTGAGGCAGAGAAATTTTATGTTCCATTAATTGCCCTCCTCTCTTCATTTTGCGTCGTGACCACCAATTCTGTAGTAATCTGTATTAGATAAACACAGCACTATTGACTGTACTTGCTCGGTCATTTAAAATATTGTAAATATTATATACAACAGTACTAGCAAATATAGTATAAAACAAAATTTTATGAAGTGGTTCCAGAAGTTCTGTTTTTTGCATTACTTTTTAAATTGTGTATTTAATGCAGCATGCTAGATATTGTACCAGTGAGCTTTTCAGAATATGGAACTTGCTCTCACAGATTTCTTTGGTAGGATTTGCGTGCCTAAATAAAAAAAAAGGCAAAAAATCATGCATCCTGAGTGCATTAAAAATAATAATTATGCCTTATTTTTAGTGAGCATAATCCTACAAAAGAGAAACCAAAGAAATGGAGCTCTCTAAGGACTCTCAGATACTAGAATATATTAATCTATTTTCTTCGAATGAACATAAAGATGCTCTACAAAATATTTTCCTCCTGAAACAGGACACTGTGTCTAACAAGGTGTTGCTGAAGCTGCAAATATTTAAGAATATTTACTATGAAGCTGTGCAGAGACCCTTTCACACAGCAGTTATAAATATTAAAAGTATAATTGTACAGACAAGTGTCATACAAATGAAAAATATTATCCAGGATTGGTACAGGAGGAAGTTCAAGTTTCAAATCAAATCATTTGATTTTTAGACATTACTAAAAAAGGACGGATGATGGGAAATATTTTTTATTACTATTTTTATTAACAGACTGCTATTTCTCCTCAAACTAGTTTAGTGTTTAGCTTTTCATCTGTCTTGTTACTGAAAGGTAAGTTGCAAGCAATAGTTTTGTCAAAATAAAACACTGTTTTTTGTTAAGGAACATAATTGACTGACAAAGGATGTTCTAAAATAAATTCTTGAGTTAAGGTGCTGCTGGGCTCAGAAGACAAGGAAGCCTGATACTTCAGGTAGCTTTTTTCTTTTCAGAACTTCACATCTCTCAGCAGTGCAGCGCAGTGCCCATCATCTGCAGGACGACTGCACATTGTGAACATAATTTTTTCAGACGTATTTTCAAGGCTGAGACTTTGATTAAATTAAAATTTGATGAGCAACCTTTTGCTTTTATTGAAAAGATATTCTTCTAGTTTCTAAAAAACTGTAAGACTCTTAGCCCTATTGCTCTCTTCAGTGCAAAACAGCTCTGTTCATATTATGGAAAGTTAAATCACAATAAACAATTTAAATAGTTAACATACCTTGAGAAGCTTTATTTCAGAGCAGAAGCTCATGCTTCCCTCAGGAATAAATTCACAGTATCACAGTATGTGAAGGTGAGATGCAAAAAGAGAAAACATTCTCCAAATGTGTTGCTTTTGAAACAGTAATTTTGGTAAGAGCAGACTCTTTATACTCTCTTTATTTTTCTTACAGAATGCAAGGGAAGAGTGTAGACCCAGTTATGTATTTCACAACCACATTTTTAGGCCTCAGAGCAAGTACTGAACACATACTGAACTTGTGTAAACACTAGTAACAAGTCTCCCCCTCACCTGCTTACTGGAGGTTACAAATACATTTTGATGATTAAGTTTTGAGTGGTAACACAAGCCATGTAAACATGAACCTGCAGGAGAGTCCCATTTTAAGTGCTTACAAACATTTATTTCCTCACGTGGATATTGCAGCTGCAGACAGTCGTCATCAGTTTAGATAATGAATTTCAATTAAAGGCCATATTCTACCTTCCACTTAAACAAAAATATATTTTTCCTTTTCACTGAATCACACTGACATGTGATCACTGTTTGTAAAACAAACATTAACAACTGAACTTACGGATAGCCTAGTTCCATGAAGTTGTTCCACATTTGTTTTAAAACCATTATAACTCCCATTTGCAAACACAGATCTATCAAGCAGCCACTAGGATGACACTGAAACAAAGGGAAAAAGATTGATTGCTAAAATCATAGAATTTCTTTAATTTTTATCTGTTCACAGGGTGAATGGAGAATACTCAACTATGGACGATTAAAAAACACTATCCTCCAGCTACAAGAATACTAAGAGAAAATTAACAACAGAAATGTTAACATAGACTTTAATGGAACACTCAACTTTCATCTCTTGGAGAACTGGATGGTGTTATCCAGGCTAAGAATAGACATATATGATAGACATATGATAAACGATAAAGTCTGTTTCACTTAGGCTAATGGATATGCATTCATTTCAAAAGACTGGGGTAATATTTTATTTGTAATACCCTAAGTCCAAACAGAGACTTAGTAGTGGAATCTCTGCTACCAGTATCCTAACCATAAAAATTGCCAAAACAATATATGTTAAAGTAAGTAATATATATTACCATGTTTAGTAATTACAGAAACTTTTATAGACTAAGAGACCACAAAGTTGTGGTATTTTACTCTGTGGTTACCAAGGCTCTACTGAGATCACAGATAATGACAGCATGCTACTGACACTAAGAGAAGTGCAGGTCTTAAACACATTTACAAGCTGAAATTTGACTTTTTTTTTCTTTTAAATCAGTCTTTTCACACTGGCATAAACTTAAGAAGCTGGCAAGGAGAACTAATGGCACTAAACACGTCTTCCATCCAAAAGTACCACATACCCTGGAGATACCAACAATTTAGGACTCAAATACTGCCAGTGAGGTAAGGGAGTATCACATTTTGCTTTTCACAAAGAGAGAGGCAGAAAGAATCAAGGGCCTCATTCAGAGTCACTCAGCACAGCTGAGAACACAGAGGAAAAACACATCTCCAGTTTCCTATCTCCTGCTATAAATAAAAGCTTATTCTTCACTACACTTAGACGGAATAATAAATCTTTCAAAATGGACGTAACTCATGTCTTTCAGCCATTTCATAGTTTCCTTTATACTCATGGAAATTTCACAGGAACGCAAAAATGGGATTGTTTACCTCTTCCAGTCTCCATCTGTTAAAAAGCTTGTTGTACTTTCCGGGGCGGCCTGCAAATCTGAAAAAAAAGATTTCTGTTTCTCAATGGACATTCCAAGAACACCATGTATCAGAGAAGCTATTTTACCACATCCACTGAGCAAACTCGTGAAGTACAAATAGATTAAATCCCATGGGTTTAAATCTTATATCTTTAGGATACAGTAGTTTCAGAATGCAAACCAGGAAAGAGACCATCATTCTGCAAGTGATCCTGAGCTTTTATGTTCAGAACCGAAATCCTAGCTTCAGGAATTTCAAATATTAGATACCCGAGTTCTCTAATCTGCATTCAAGAAGTCAAACTATTGTGACTGGTAGGAATCTACTGCAGCACAGAGATAGCTCACACAAGTGAAATTTGTATTGGATTGCACTGTGATGTAAAAGCATAAATCAGTTCCAAACTCATAAATAAACCCTTCCTATGGACCAGACTCTTGTGAAATGAGTCTGTGAAATGAACTGAATCAGAATTCTTAATGATCTCAGGGAAAATTATACGTGAGAAAGGAAAAAAAAAAAAAAACCCAAGACTGGTCCTGCCAGACACAGGATTAGCAAGATACAAAGAAGTTTAAAAACTCTATGGCAAATACATTGCTGGATATAACAAGCAGATATTACCAACAGTCTGTACTAGATATTTTCTTCTTTAAAAGATCTGGAACGAAAATTAAATTATAAAGCTTTACAGGTGCTACTCTGAAATACAGTATACATTCTGGAGAAATGATCAGTCTGATCATAAAGAAGCTGAAGTGAAGCAAGGTTAGACCTGTTTGATATCTCATACTCTGAGCTAAGGATACATACAAAAATGAGACCCAGAATTCCTGCCTCCTACTTTTGTATAAAACCTGCCAGACAATAGTTATTATTTATAGAAACGGGTCCTAGGAAATCTTACCAGATAGGATTAACTGTGAAAAATGAATAAAACTTATGACTCCAAGGTTAAATACAGATCAGTATTAGGAAGTGGCTTTAAATTTCAAAGGTTCTGAATTCTCATAAACGCTTTTTGTTTTAGTATGAAAGTCAGCTCATAAAAAGTAGACCTTTTACTGTCTAGTTTCCTAAATAAAGATTTAAAGAATTCTACCTTCACACAGAGGTGAATTTTGCATTGCTAACCATCTCCAGACAGTGTCACATGTATATCTTACATTTAAAAACTTCAGCATATTTTCTTCAAATCTATAAAATTATGGGTCCTGTGTAAGTTTTCTTTAACAGCAGTTACCAAATAATAACTTACCTGCCAAGGAAAAAAGCAATATAAAAGATAGAGCTGTTCAAGTTGACAAACTGGAAGAGGAACATTTTCAAAGCAAAGCTGTTTTCCCACTCTGATTCTGTTCGAGGGTGCTCTGTGGAATGACACAGTATGTATTACATACACAAAAATGAAATCAAGTTACTCTGCTCACAGATCAATCAGCACTAACGAAACAAGTGATGGGTTGAAGTCATCATAGCCCATCAGGTTGCAATTAGTTTTTTTCTCAAAGTACTCAGTCTGCAGGCTGCAAAACTCCTGCCCAGCTCCGGCTAGCTTGGTTCTACGTGAAAACGAAAGTTACAAGCCCTGAGTTACAGAATACTCCAGAACTTTGAGGGAAATTATTGTTTTCATTTTGGAAAATTCAAATTCAGTGTGAATCTTTAATTTTAAGTGTAGAGACATCTTGATTTTTTTTTCCCCACAGTCACATAAAAGCACTTGGCATCAGCAGAGCAATGGGCAGGGGCAGAACAGGAAAGTAGAGGGAAAGAAGAACAGACAGTAGTCAGTTGGTTTCTCACCCAAACAGCTCACCTCCTAAACATTTCCATGAGACCTCCTCTGTCATCAAGCCTATGAAATGTCTAACAATTTGTTATGAAATACAGAAAGGATGGAGATCTTTCTTCTTTTATTTCATATGGAAATGTAGAAATGCACATTAGCACTACAAGTATTCCATGTCAGTCTTCACATCCTTATAGCTTTTAGGACATGATTTGTCTTATTTAGAAATGGGAGAAAATTGTTAAAGTTAACGTTTTTGGGCAAAAATTTCAAATTGCTTTGGTTGATGAATCAAATTTGGAATATAGTACACTGATAAAAGTTTCAAAGCACATGTATGACTCAGAGGTCTATACAGCCTTAATTTTTCAAATAAAATTTATGCTATTTATTGCTTTGCTACAAAGGTAAAGTCTGCTTTGAAATAAAATAGGATACGAATTTATAGTATATGAGCTCTCTGTGTGGACACTGTTATTCCTCAGAAATTAAGATGATGTCCTTCTCCTTGAAGACCAGTATGTTAGGAAGCAGAGTGAACTACATAGCTCATACAAAACTGATGTTCCATTATGCTTAAGAGGCTTTTTTTTTTTTTTTTTATGTACTGTTGGAAAAATCAGCTCGTATAGGTAAATGAAATCATTATTTTTTCCCCATTCCCTGGTCTGAGACAATATAATATTAAAAAGGTTTAGTTAAGTAGGAATAAACAGCAGTGTGATCTGTCAAAAATTATGTTACAATATTTTAATAGTTTAAATAAGTTGACTATATATTCTGGATCTTTCTAACCTGTTCAATTGCCTGTTATCTGAAATACCTCTATAAAGTTTGGAACGTTATTTAATGTATGCTCATCAATCCTTTAACCAGAAGAGGGAGCTATTAAATTTAAAAAGTGAGTTTGCTTTTAAATTGACCAAATCAACTGCATTTTGACTTGGGCTACAAGGGAACATGTAAGAAGACATGCTGAAAGATAACATATTCACATAGAAGGAGATCTTAAATGCTGTTTATACTTTCTTGTTTTATTTATATAATTTAGAAAGCTATACCTCTATGACTCGATCACAACTAGAAGCTTTATAATAAATTTTTAAATGTGGCAGATTTAGAGATACTTTAAAATTTATGACTCACTATTTTTATCTTTGAAGATATAGTTTTACCTTAACACAATTTTTCCAAGAGAAAGTGCTAATTAAAAAAAATAAAAATTAACAAAGCATTTGGGAAGAATCAGAAATTTCTGTATTAGTATTTTAAGAAGAATATGCTTTGATTTTTTTCTGTTATAACCTGTCACTTTTTTCAATTAACACTATTAAAAACGTAAAATGGTGTAGAAGTATTATAATGAATTCCTTTCTTTTGCATTATTTCTTCAGTGCAATCATCATAACATTTTTTCTTCTGATACTTCTCACTTAATTAGGGAAATTTCAGCATCTTATTATACATATCTGAAGCTTTCAAAATTCTATTGTATGGAAATATGAAGGTATATGTCACAACTAATGAGGTTATATGCCAGTAGTAAAGACCTACATACCTAAATCTGTCAGCAGATAGGCAACCTTTTCATATACCTAAAAGAGAAATAAGAGATGACATAAGTATAGCAAATATTGTCTGCTGTGATATCAAACACAGAATGGAAACTAGGATCAAAAGCATAAGTATTCTGTTGTCCTACAGCATCAAGTTAACTGGACAGAGAAGGGAAGGCAACGTCTTAACTTTGGATATATATATTTTCCAATGAAAATTTCACTGAACTACCTTTGTGTCCTTTGTCTTTATCCATAAAAATGTATGTATATATGCATGTATACACATACACCCGTTTATGTATGTGTATATATATAAACATAAATCAAGAGTCAATAAATCAAGAGAAGTGCTCAAACATCAACATTTAACTTAATGAGCCCTTAGATGCTTATCCTCTACCATTAGGAACGAATCTATGTGATCTTAAAGTAGGGGAAATCCTTTACAATAAATCTTTCCTTTGCATAAATGTGCATACCGAAGAGGGTATCAGTATTCTACTGAAAATTTGTTTGCTTGTTTATTTATTAATTATCCCCAGTCTTTTAAATGACAGTTTAGCCCAAGCTAATTACCAATTCTGAAAACATAAATATTTTCTTGATTATTTACTATTAATAGTAAGTTACTTTCAATAGCTTTCATGTGCTTGTTTTCTTGAAAGTACTTTTTACGACTTAGAATTGTCATGTAATAACAGTAATAAATATATGACAGTGTGTTTTAAAGAATGTTTTCTTATTGCAACATGTGTACAATCTCCTTAACAGAAATAACAACTAATGCTTTGCTGTACTATTATTCCTTTTTACCTATTCATGCCTGTATTGTAACAGAAAAACGATAAATTCTACTGCAGAATTTATACCAATGCACATTGTGCAATCATAGCAGATGTTTAAACCCATTTTATTACCTGAGAGAAAATCTTAAACTGAAATCATATATCACAGTGCCTCTAGGACTGCGTAACACTGACACCACAGCTGCATCGTAAATAAGAAAGGGGAGAATTCAGAAGTCGTCAGTTAAAAAGAAAAAAGGACTAAATTCTCAGCCAGGAAGAAAATAATTTACTTCCATTTCGAGAAGAGACTTACTGTAACAGGTAATGTAAAAAAACAAAAATGCAAGTGTAGAAAGCAGTATTCTGTACTACTGTGACTTGACATAGTCAAAGACGTGTAGCAACAAATTAGGCAGGCAGTTGGAAAAAAATTTTGACAAACATAATATCAAGAGGAAAAACCCCTGATCAGGACAGAAGGGCTGGGCACAGCTATATGAATAAGCAAGAACATGTATATTTCAGATATACAGTAAACTCAGCAAGCTTGTAACAATAACTCTTTTGAATTAATCTCTCATTTTAAAAAAATTAAAAACTTACCACATTGAGTGACATGATGATCATAAAATTGATACAGACTCCAGTGCCAGATGTTGCAAACTGCCAATACTTTTTGATGAAATACCACTTGAAAGACGCAAATTGTTCCATAGCTACCAGACGATACACCACAACTGCAAATACTGCAGTGAGTACCAGTGAAATCTAGAGATAAATGTTTGAGTAGAGAAATTAGAACAAAGTAAACAATATCTGAAATATTTTCCACTAAAGCAATAGATTAACAAGTATTTTATAGATTCCTATTCACTTTAGTGAGCAGACTCTTTCAGAGGAGTAAAACACTAGAGTGCAGAATTAAAATGTTTCTTTACTGTACTTTTACAGTACAACTACACTACGCTTTTTGAAAGAAAAAACTCCATAAACAAGCAGTAAACTTGACCTGATCATTTCTGCCTATGCTGTTATATAATTCCATTAAACTTAAAGAATGCACTCATGATTTACACTAGTATTTACATCAGAATAACATTAAAAGCCTGAATAATTCCAATATTATTAAACAATACCATGAAGAATATTCCTGAGACAGACACCATCAGTCGACTGAGCTTATCAGGGAAAGGCTGAAAAGGTTCAGGTTTTCCTGTGATCGGATTTACTCTTTCCACTTGGGAATATTTAGCTTCAAACTGAGGGCGCAGTTCTTCCTGGAATGACATGGAAGATTCCATTTATGTTGCAATTATTTCACTGAAGTATCAAACAATCAGAAATACATGTGATATAATGCTAATAAATTTATATGGATAAAAATTCTTTCTAAAAATCCTCCAGCTCAACTATTCAAACAACTTGCTCTTGTGAAAATCCTTGGAAATAGCTCCAGAGCACTGCAACGAGCAGAAACAGCATAAGGCAGTGCAGTAGAAGCTTTCCGCATTATGTGAGGGTATTAAAAAGATAACTGGTCATAATGCTGATTTAAAAACTAGTTTCTCCATTCTGCATTCTGCAACTACAGTTATAATCTGTAGCACATATAATCTGAATAGCAAATTCAGATTACCAGCATACAATATGTATCAGTATTTACACTTAAATCATGCTGACTGCAAGATTTACAAATTTACTTCTGTTTTGTCTTACCTCTTCATCTTCCCAGTCTATGAGGTCCCAGTCATAGGTTAATACAGCTCTCCGCCTTTTCCAAAACTCTAGGAAGACCGTAGCTGTGGAAATCACAAACTACATTTTAGTTACGGAAAAGAAAGAAAGAAAGGCCCTGCAGATTTCAAAATATCAATGACATGTAAATTGATAATCATCCTTAGCCATTTTCCAGCTGTTTTCCCACAGAATCTGATCTGAAAACTGTAACTAACTCCAGGATAACCACTGTTAAAACTGGAACACTATTTCACAATATTTATGTAAGAACCATTTTTCCTGTTATCTGCTATATCTGTACAGAAATAGGTACCTGTCCATATGAGGCATTGTCATCCCTTCTGGATCATTATTTTGCTTTTGATTTTATTCAGTCTGTATAATTATGGTTTAAAATCTTTCTTTGGAGAAACAAGAATATGCATACAATGACAATTATTAATGAAGAACTAGATTTTAACCTCATTTAAACCAGTTCGAATCAGGACAACCTTACTTTTTTCCCCGCTAAACCAGCTTTATACTGGTGTAGCTTAGCTACCAAAATACATATTTAAACAATTATTTCTGATCTGTGTGTGAGACCATAATCAGATCCTTTGTGTACTTGGTGTCTTTGGTAGGTCCTATAAAAATAATTACAATAAATAAGCAATGGTAAGTTACTGCAAGTTCCATTTCCCCAGAATTGCAAGTTTCTTTTCCCTGGAAAACAAAAACACTAATTTCAAACAGGGGCTGAGAAAATTTGCTTGGTTCTGGCAGGCCAGCTGCTCAGAAGGCTGATTTCTAACTCAAACTGAATAGGAAGGTCTAACCTTCCTACCTTTTGCTATATTATGTACAGTATATATTATTTTAATATTTATATATAATGTAATATATTATATATAGCTATCATTATTATGCTATATGTATATCTGTATGCTATATTTAAGCACAACTGCCAGAAGTTCATGCTACAGCTACTTATAAGTGATGGATGGCTGTATGAAAGGCAATGGAAACCAAGGAAGCCGCCTAGTTATTAGAAATCAAACAATGAACTTTAAATCCCACTGACTTACAATACCTGAGTCAGAGAAACAAACCAAGAAACTGAATCGGTGGCATTTTTTCCCCAGTACCATTACTAGACACATGAATCAAACCTGAAAAAAAGATGAGGAAGGATGAACTACTGAAGCACACTTCTGGATTGGGAAGTGTTTTAGCTTCTGTAAATATTGTTTGAAATCTGAGTAATAAAGAGACAAGTTGTGGTCTCACAGGAATGCTAGACTGTGACTTAAGGGACTAATGACATATCCTCAGTCGAATATGTCAAATATGCACTAATCTTAGAATGCTGTTCATTTCATTCTGTCCTTATCCTTAGCTTCAGAATAGGTTGCTTACTTATTTGTCCGTAAGCTATTGTTTTTATGCTCTGGTATAACATGAATAACTAATAAACATAATGTCTTCTATGATGCTTATGCCCATGGAGCACTTTCTGCTGCAATGATAAAACAAATCATCCATCTAGACTAACCAGCTGAGGTCTAAATAGCTAAATATACCTGCCAACTAACGTGCCTGTAAAAAATGAAGGCTCATCTGAACTCCTCCATAAATGCTGCAATACTCTCATACAGTAATCATGGTAATCACAGAATTCATGGTAATTTTGCTGTGGTAAAGAACTATTGAGAAAGTAGAGTCAAAAGCTAAAAGTAAAAAAAAAAAAAAAAAAAACCCTGAGAAAAAAAATTACAAAGAACTTCTCTTGTGCCAGTTTCCAGGTAAAATGTCACTGAAAAGTCATCAGAATTTTGAAATTCAAATATCCGGCCAGTTATACAGAAAGGTCTGGATCTTTCCCAGCCTGCCTTCATTTTGCTCCATTACTCTAATCCCACCAGCCAGTTTTCCTTGCAATCAAGTGCCTCCAATCACAGTTGCTAGGTGTTTCTTACTGACTCATCTCTTATCCAGAACTCTCAACTCTGAAAATGCAAAACCTTGACTTTTATCAATGACCTCTGCATGAAAACAAGATATACAAAGGATGAATAATCTAATGATTTGAACTGCAAGGCAACAGCATTCACGTTCAAACACTTCTCTGACATGGGAGAGCATCTTCGTGCCTAATTCTGTTGTTCACGAGTTTTGGATAACTTAGTGCCACACATAAGCCTCTAGTTTTCTAAGTAAGACATTCTCTGGTGCCTCTCCTGCTTTTCAAAGCACACATTGCTTCCATTTTACAGGCCCCACTGTAGTTTTGAACTTAAAATTTCCCTTTCTTTTTGTACAGCAGTCTGGTAGAGGCCCACTCAGGGATACATCATTCAGTGCTTTGCAATGGAGTTGCAGTTTTTAAAAGTTTATCTCCATTCTTATTTAAGTTACTTTATGTTTATTGCCCTTAGACTGCCTTACTGATGAGAGGAATCAAAACCTTCAGGTATGTGCTTTACACAGTTCTTAATCTTTCAGAAGACAAATAGGTTGATGACTGGTGGCTAAAAAAGATAGGAAAGATAGGTTGTGTTTTGACGTGATCTTAAATATAACAAAAGTTTGACACTGCCAAGGGAAAAAAATGACGAACGACTACCGTTAAATGCTATGAATGGAAATGAGCCTGTAGAGAAAGAACAAAAAAAAAAAACCACAGAACCTAAGACTACCATGTCAGCACATCTCTTCTGAATATTTTGTAAGAGTCACTGTGTCCAAATGAACGCTGTGTTTATTTCCCTAAAAAGTTATTATAAAGAAGATTTCAGTAAAGAGTTAGGGGACTGTCTCTGCTGCCTTTCCACAGACTTTGGACATGCTAGGCAGGTCCCTTCCAAAAATTCTGCTCAATTATTTCTTCAGCTTTATTCAGTAGGACTCCTTTACAGCAAAGTTAAGCAATAAAAGCAGTCCTACACATTTGTTATCACACTTACTACTAAAACACACTCTTCAGAATTAATATAAATGCTAGAATTCTACTGAAGACTCTGGTGGATAATAAATCCAGTGGTAGCTGACTGACCCTTTAGTCTCATCTCCCACTCCTGGAGTACTCTGAAGCACCTTGCCTCCACATGGCCACAGTTCAATTTGTTAGCACTTGAGCTCACTGCTGGAGATGTTGCCTTCCAGGAATACATGGCCAGCACTCAGCGCCAGCATCCTGGCACTCCACACTGTACGGGTATGAAACACAGCCAAGGGCGGAGTCACAAGTAGAGTATCTCTCAACAGTGCTTTGAGTCATTCGGGCAAACAGCTTTTTACCTTTCATAACAAGTAAATTAAACTGCTCATAAATAATGCTCTCTCCGGAGAGAAAGAGAGCACCTTACCAACCCCACTGCAGAGGCTGAGGGCCTCCTATCGCTAGAGTGGTAAGAATATATGAATGGTCTTGCTATGTTAAAATATTTTGTACTTATTCAAATACACTTTGTTGTTTTTCTTTGGATGAAGGGTTTTTACTATCAGAAAGACTTCTCAGCACCATAATGTGTGTGTGGTGGCATGAAGCATACTGTCGATCCCAGTATATCCCTTGTCTTTTGGTTAATGCGGCACAAGATCCAAATTTGGACTCAAAATTTGTGGTGTTTGTTTTCAGATCTCACGGTCATTCTGTTAGAAGCAAGTCCATCCAGACACAGCAACAAAGATGAGGGTGTTAGTACACACTGCTGATGATTTCCTTAATGAGAACACTGGATTCCAAAGAATGCCAACCCACAGGGTTGAACTCTGTCCTCTTCCCTCTCGCAGAACACCACCTGATGCCACAAAAATAACTTACTTTTGCAAAAGGGGTAATAGAAATCCTTCCACTTGTCCACTGCAGTATTTCATGAAAATAGCACTAGCTGCTCCCGTATAATAAACACCCATACAAACACCACCTCTGTATGTCATATTTTCAATCCTTATCTTGGTGAATCGTGAACCAGACAGTTCTACGCTGTCCAATATGAAATAAACATCCTCCCAATAGATTTGGTTTCTCATATTGATCAGAATGACAGGTAATACTTGGCTGGCTAACTTAGCTCCTGATTATCAACATCAGTAAATCCGTTCATGAAATTAACTTTATCACTGGTAATACGCTTTCAAAGTCATTGAACTAAATCAGCAACTATTAGGTCTGCTATGACTTCTATCTCTCCTCCCCTTCAACTGGTATCAAAACACACATACACACACACACACACACACCAGGCCATATCTCCCATTTTGTATCTGCATTGGATGCACATTGCTACTAGTCGCTTTTGTGCCACCCTTTCTTTCCCTGTCAGAGCTTCACTCCCATTTCTGTGAGATTATTTCCTCCCATTTTCCACACGACAGGGATGAAAGGAGAAACAGATATTGAGATAGCTCATTCCAGGAGGATGTACTGTACAATGCAGTTCTTACTCTAAATTGCTGCATTAACTTGCAGTAAGACCGAAAAGAAGTCAGGAATTATTACATAGACATCATGCAATCAAACATGAAGGATGCATCAAGACAATAAAGACTTATAAATGGGAGTTTGCATCCTTTTTTTCTTCCAAATGCTCCAAGAGCGTTTCTAGGCAGCAGAGCCCTTATACAAAAGAATTCATTTCCAGAGGAAACTTGCCCAAAATTTCAGGCAATGAAATCTGTTTTTCCAGGAGCTGGAGTTAACATAGAGGTCAAAATCAGTGATATAATACTGTCTGCTTGACAGCTTCCACTCCAGCTGAAAGAGGTAAGGCTCTCTAGGTAGAAATTATTTTTTCTAGATAATTTGTCTTTATAGAAAACTCCCAATTTTATGATAAATTTTTGATTAGCAAACATTACACCCTCAAGGGGGAACACTTTTTTTTTTTTCATATGAGGATATTACATGCAAGACTATCAATACTTGGTTTGAACAAACAGCAGATAAAGATTATTGCTACTAATTGAATAACACTGCAGACACTTAGACGAAGTTATGAAACAGTATTTGCATTTATCTTGCAAAAAATTTAAAGTGGAAACAGATAAACGCATTCCATTCAAACAATCAGGCAACACT